TTATAATCACAAGACTGTGAAACATAAGTTTTATAGTTTTCTTTGTCTTTTCCTATTTGTCGTAGGAGTAGTAGAATTTTCCAGATATATCCGGCTGGACAGGTGTTGAATCATTCCTATTACATGTATTTGCAGTTGATTCGATAAACAAAGCTTCAGTCAGTCATCAGTCTCTTTCTCCACCCTGGTGTCACATTAGATTTTAAAACTGTCATCCTATCCCATCCTATTGTATAGCTGTGTGTAGTTGCATGTAGAGTGGTGCCACAGCTGAACTATTGTCTAGATTTCTTATCTTATAATGGGTCAACCAAAATCTAGATTGGTTCCATTTCGAATAAAAAATAAATTAGCCAGCCTACTTTCGGCTGACAACTTTCAAGTGATGAGTCACAGAGAGAGTTTGAATCCCACCCACCTAATTCAACCTGGGTACACATGGTGGAATAATGTCAGATAAGGTTTAGGAGTTGCGTCAACAGGTAATTGGAGCCAGGTCACATGAGCAGATGGTAAGCATTCCTACCATGTAGCATCACTGAAGCAATGCCTTATATATAGTCTGGCAAACACACGAAATCTGTTCGGCTTAAACTGAATTCCAACTTAACAGTATTCTTTCGATTTTTTAATCATCTGGCCAGTTTTTAAGTCAAGGAAAGAGAAACAATTATTATCATTATTATTATTATTATCTGAAACTTAACTAATTAGTTATCAACTCTGTCGATTACGTACTGTCATCCAGAATTTCTCAGATATTGTGTTATTACCCTTACACCGCGAATAACTAACAATAACCTCTGGTGTTTGGTGTCAATTAACGTTCTCTATTTAACCAGCGTTGATCGAGAGGTGCTTTGGCAACTACTTCGCTACTACGGGGTGCCACCGACAACTCTGCATCTCATCCAACAGCTGTACGACAATCCTGCATGCCAAGTAATCCACAACGGGAAACTTATGGAATCCTTCGAAGTGAGGACAGGAGTAAGACAAGCTGGCTGCCAACCATCGCCAATGATTTTCCTGATTGCAGTAGACTGGATAATGCGACAAACAGCGGGCAATGAGGAAACAGGCATAAAATGGACTTACACAAAAAACCTGGAGGATCTAGACTTCACCGATGATATATGTCTGATTTCCCACAAACTGGAAGATATGCAAGCGAAAAGCAACAAGTTGGCGATAGAAGAAGCATCAAAAATAGGACTTCAGGTGCACATAGAGAAAACAGAGGTGATGAAGATTCCTGAACACGAACAACAACAACAGACAACGATCAGCATAAATGGAAGGAACCTGAAAGAAACAACCTCCTTTACCTACCCTACTTGGGAAGCATCGTTTCAACTACAGGCCGGTGGAACTGACGAGGATATCAAAGCAAGAATCGGAAAAGTAAGACAAGCTTTCAATACTCTCAGGTCTGTGTGTGGGTCGACAGCACTCAGCATCAAAAATAGGATCCGAATTTTCAACTCCAGTGTGAAGTCAATGCTACTATATGGATCAGAGACTTGCACTGTGTGTCATAAAGAGCATCTCAAACAAACTACAGACCTTCATCAACAGCTAGCTGTCTTCACTCAATGCTATTCAAGATCAGATGGCCGGCTAGAAAAGATCACCAACAGAGATCTCTGGGAGCGAACCAGCCAGGAACCGATTGTGAAACAAATAGGCAGGAAGAAATGGAGATGGATTGGCCGTCCTCTCAGGAAACCATCAAGTGACATCACTAGACAAGTCATTGCTCGAGTGGAACCCGAAAGGGAAGCGGCGGGTTGGTCGTCAGTGTGAGGGTGACTTGGAGGAGGTCATGTGAAGAGGAGATGCAAGCGTGTGGACAGACTTGGAACCAGGTGAAGACTCTAGCAGAGAACCGAACTCAATGGAGAGGCACGGCTGAAGCCCTATGTTCCTCTAGGAATTAAAGGAAACAATAATAATAATTTAACCTTGTGAGTAACCGGTCAGCGTTGAAGTTACGAAAATAGATCTGCTTGTTAATCGATGTGTTCTCAACTTAAAGGAGGTTAAAGCAACTCTTCGAAATATATCAAATATTCCCATAGTAAAATTTAGAATAACACATTTAAGCGAACAATATTGTGCTTTCAATTAGATCTCATCAGGCTTAACTCTGATATATATATATATATGTATATATATATAAGTTTACAAACAAAATTCACAAGAAAAAGGTACAAACAGCGAAGAAAATTTTCTTTTCGACGATTCTTTTTCATGAGCTGTACAATCGTAATTGTAATTAACAAGGAAATCTTCAAACCAATCAGATACTGGTAAATTTCGTCCTTGGAAAATTGTATTACATAAGGTGTAAGGTGTAACAAGGGATGACTAATTGTAAGTTAGAAAGGAGACAGAAGTTGGCATGACGTAGTAAGTGTGAGATAATGAATAATCAATAAGCTCGTGTAGAATGGACAGGAACTAGTGGAAAGGCTATAAAGTGTTTTTGTATAAAATATGTATGAAAAGCAATGTTATTAATAAACAGTAATAGAGTAGTAATAAAATGTGGATGATGGGAATAATAGTGATAATAAAAGTATTAATAAAATAATAATAATAATGAACTTACATAATAAAGGAAAGAAGCAAAACTGTGGTAAGAACTTTACTCTGGCCATGGTAGGGCAAGAGAACGTATGTATCACTTTTCGGTGCAGAGGTCCGGTTTCAGATCTCGAATAGCTAATGCTTCAGCTATGTACAGATGGCGTATCAGAAGTCCCATTGTACGATATTGAGGGACTCTGTGTAACACTGTGAAGCATTCATGCGAGGGTGCTCGATGTCCAGAGATGACAAGGTGTCCGAGGATTGAGCTGTTGCTATTCTTCTTTTCTCCTCTGGATAACCAAGCTTGGCAGTGTTCCAGAATACGTTTGTGGACTTGACGTTGCGTACGGCCAATATGCTTTGCTCCACACGAGCAATTGAATTGATAAATACACACTGAAGTGGCCAAAAGCGGTAGACTGGATTAACTGTCTGCAGGAGAATGTGATACGTAGAGTGGCTGTTGGAAATGTCTTCTTCAGACATTTAGAAAGGCGGTTTCTGATAGTGGTCATGTAATGGAGAAAACGGGAGCCTTCAAAGTAATTCATCGTATCCCAACGAATCTTTTCAATAGACTTCATATTCGTTTACTGCACACAGCTGAGGCGATAGGCATTCGAAGTATTAAACCTAAACTATGTATTCAAAAAAGTTCGTACAGCCATTATCCCTCCCTTGGCCTATTAAGACATAACCAACTAATGACTTCTACACCACCCTTTGTTTATATTTTCAACCCCTTTCTTATCTTCACTTAATCTTATCTTCATTATAAACGTGTTTCATTTACTTCCCTTACAATCTAACATTACTTAATCGGTTCATTTGTTTTTACTAGCCTTTATTGACTACTTCCACCTGAACAGTTGTTTGTTTAATCACGCTGTTTTTTCATTATTCGTGTTATCACAAGTGGCCTCACTTTTTCATCCTTATTATTGATAAGACCATTTTTATTATTACTATTATTATTATTATTAACATTACTACTATTATGACTAATTGCACAATTTATATTCACCATCGTATTATCCTATAGACAAAACACCATGATTGGTTTATATTTGAATTTTTATTTGTAAACTTATATATATTAGAGTTAAGCCTGATGAGATCTAATTGAAAACAATATTGTTCGCTTAAATGTGTTGTACTATAAAAGTCAGCATCTGAACTGCTGTAGTTACATCTTGTGTTGTGATTATGAAAACAAAGTTTGTGGAAGCCCTAGCAATTAGAAAGTTTAAGCCACCTTTATGTGTTCAAAAACAATTCGTCATCACGTTAAACCTTCCTTGGTAAATTTTGTTTTGACACCATAGCAGATGTACTATTACCTCTGTTATTTGGTTTAGTGGTCTTCATTGTTACTTTGACCTTGAATATGTCCTTTAAACTTGACCTAAGTCTATTTTCTCACCTCTTACCTCTTTATTAATTTCATATGTATTCCAATGACAAGTCCGTGTGTGATCAGATTGTTCGAAATGTGTTGCGCAAATACATGACACGATTCAGACAAATTACGTCTTCTTATTGCTTTATCTAAATAAAGTATGCTTTGGAACATTTTAAGATCATGTCATGACAGATAAGATCACAGAATGAATTGAATAGCAACTACGCCAGCTAGTGAGAAACATTATTTCATCGATTCAAAGCCAATTGGAGATAAAATCTAAAAGTCTGAATAACAACGGACACCCATAGTGTATTGGTCCTGGGTTCGACTCCCTACCCAAAGACTGCTCAAGTCTAAGCGACTGACCATCTACTATCATCAGTCTTCACATATACACACACACACATGAACATAATGAGTGTGGCTCGCAATCAGGTACGTGAAAAGCACAAAATCTGGTTTAGATAAGTGAGTTCTAATTCAATTAATTCAGTGCTTAAATCAATAATGGTCATGGTCAAATCATAGTCATAAATCCGGTAACTCAACTACTCTAACCCTGACTTAATCAACCAACCCTTACTGTCCCGAAATCCTATGAATGCTTCAGGAAAAACTGCATAATTTTCTCATTAGCTGATTTCGTTAGAGAACCACTGGAAAACTTGGGAGTACTGGACAGCTGTTTTTTCATAGTTTGGGACTCTTCATCAGGACTCATCAGCTAGCTAGCGGGATGTACCTGCATTCCATAGTCGGGGCTTGATGGTGTTCCCAGTGAGGATCGAACCCAGTGGCCCATAGTCTCAAACACCAAAGCATTACTCACTAGACCACTTGGGCCACAAGAGCCACCTCTTGTGCAACCATTCTTATTAATTATTAATTAATTCAACTTTAGATTTTCCCGTCGATTGATTGGACCGAAGTGCTCGGCTGCATTTTTTTTGGAAAGGATGGAGAACACCAAAGAAGAAACTGTACCACAAAATACATGATTCTATTTACAAACAAATGTTATTTTTTCGGTTATATTTGAAGAAATATAAATAGATAAATAAAGTAAAAAATATGTTTACTCCTGTCGTTCAATTACAAATAATATTAGTAATAATAATAATAATGATAATAATAATAATACTGATAATAAATATTTTAAGGCCATCATCATTTTCTAAATTATAGTTATTAATGATTACGAGTGTAAAATTAACAAAAACTGAATAATAATAATAAAATTATTAAAAAAACAAAACCAATTAGTGACACGAGAAGAAGAAGAAGATGATGACGACAACGACGGCGAATTGCACGATTTGTGGGTTACCCATCACGTCGTCATGGTTACTTACACCCTTTGGTGGTATCACAGATAATACAAGTTTGTTTAAATTGATCTATATATATATATATATATAAATATATATATATATATATATATATATATATTGAACATGGAATAAGAAAGAGTAGAGAGTTGAGAAATGTCCATCTGTCTGTCTCATTCTATCCACATGTCTGTCTATCCATCTATCTATCTATCGATCGATCTGTGTGTCTGCCACACTATCTGCATTGGTGGGTGTATATGTCTTGGTGCAGGCATTCCATATGTGAGATTATTATTGTTATTATTATAATTACTACTAGTTAGTAATAATGTTTATATGAGTGATTGTGTAATAGGAAAGACTTGTTTCATTTATATAGATTTATATATGAACTGAATTCTTCTCATAGATCTCTTTCTCTCTCTCTCTGATAGGAAGGGAATCGTTCACTGTGAGGGGTAAAACGTGAAGGGATGAAATGGAGGTGAGTTGGTTGGTTGGTTTGAAGACAATCAATCTCTTTGTGTGTGTGTTTGTGTTTGTGTAGTACAAATGGGAGGGAGAATAGTCAATCCAGAGAAGCACTTAGATCTGAAATAAGAGACGGAGAGAGAGTGAGAGAAGTGAAAATTACGCAATAACAGAATATGTTCAAGGGTTAGTTCGTAGAAAATATTAATATATGTGTAATACTTTTAGGCACTGTGGTAGTAATTAATTCCGTATTAGTTTGTTTATTAGATATATCCCACACAGAGGGAAACAGTATTATTATTTACTGGATGACTAAGTTTCGAACAAAATTTATTGCTCATAATCACATCAGTTATAATAATCACACAACTTCGAAACTTGAGTCTCATAGTCTTCTTTGTTCTTTTCTATTTGCCATCGCTGGGGTAGTAGAATTCTCCAGATATCTAGGACATGAACAATATGAATAATAAATTTTTGGTATTAGATGGTTGGAGGCGATCGACAGGAAGCCTTGCTTGACCTAGGTTTCGTGCTAATTGGCACCCATCAGCAGGGCGTATCCGCAACCTTGAAAGAACTCATGTCCCTTCTGAGATCCGAACCCGCGTCACCCAGTGCTGCAGTCAGAGACGTTACCACTCTACCACAGTGCCCAAGTTTTATACTTATATCAACGTTACCACTGAGCTATTCAGGCTCGCGATTGACTTTCTGTAGTGTTTTACACTAGTTACTGACTAGTGTGCAATCAAAAATATGCAATACAGTCCTACAGGAGGTCAGTCACGAGCCTGAATAGCTCAGTGGTAACGTCTCTGACTGCAGCACTGGGTGACGCGCGTTCGAATCTCGGAACGGACATCAGTTCCTTCAAGATAGCAGATACGCCTTGCTGATGAGTGCCAACTAGCACGAAACCTAGGTCCAAGGCATCCTGTCGATTGCCTCCAACCATCTAATACCAACAATTCACAGTGCACCGTAATGGCTAGCCACCTAGCATGGTGGCTTGTCTGATAGAATTCAGTTTGCAGCGAAGATAGGACTAGACGCCTTACACTAGTTACTGACTAGTGTGCAATCACAAATATAATAAATTTTGTTCGAAACGCCGTCATCCAATAAATAATACTGTTTCACTGTTTGATACATTTAATAAACAAACTTATATGGAATTAGTTTGTAGGAATTCAATTAATTTCAGGCTTCATCACGCACTGAAAACCAACAGGGAGTACTAGACAGCTGTCTCGTCCTAGATTGAGACTCTTCATCCATTTTTAGATATTCAGCTCAAGAGTTCCCGGGACACGAGTTCAAGTTCATTGACTCATTTAGCTACTGTAGCATTGTAGACTGTAGCTCCTGGATCCAATTCCCGGTGTGATCGTGGATAATTATTAATGAAAAATCCCAAACTGGGACGAAACCTCTGCTTAGTACTCGTTGTTGGTTTTCATCGGTTCTCTAACTGACATTAATCTGTAATCAAAGTTGAAATAAGTTTGGTTTTTTGGTTTTCCCATAGACAGATTGGACCTGGAATCTCGTGTCTCTTATGGCCAAATTGATTGGTTCTGAAAGTTGGAGTAATTTGAAATGCACATCTATAACATTCCATTGCTGGTCAAATTGTCCATCAAATAACATCAGTGTCCATTGTCAAACATCGTTCAACTGTCAGTACCAGGAGTTGACATGTCAAGAGAAGTCAAACATTTCGGTCCCTGTATAAATAATCAACGAAAAAAATAAAATTTGACATCAGCACAAAAGGTGGCTCCTGTGTTACCCAGTCGGTCAAGTGGATGATAACGGTGTGGCTTTAGAAAAGATGGGTACTGGCTGAATTTGAGTCTTATTCCAGGAACACCAACACTTTCCCACGAAGTATTACAGGCAAATGTCCAGCTGACGAGTCATTCCTATAAATAGGATAAAATGAGCGTCTACTGGATTCTGCTGTTTGTTGTCATCAATATAAACGTAACAGATTGTTTAGTAATTAGTCGTGACCAATGGAGTACAGCATCAAAGGTAGGACTTCAGGTGAACATAGAGAAAACAGAGGTGATGAAGATTGCTGGGCAACACCATCAACAGCAACTACAACAACAGACAATAATCAGCATAAATGGAAGGAACCTGAAAGAAACAACCTCCTTTACCTACCTTGGAAGCATCGTTTCAACTACAAGCGGAAGCGAGAATCGGAAAAGCAAGACAAGCTTTCACTACTCTCAAGTCTGCGTGGAGGTCAACTCCAATGTGAAGTCAGTCAGTGCTACCATACGGATCAGAGACTTGGCCAGCGCGTCATAAAGAGCATCTCAAACAAACTACAGACCTTCATTAACAGTTGTCTTCGCTCAATACTACTCAAGATCTTATGGCCAAGAAAGATCAGCAACAGAGATCTCTGGCAATGAGCGAACCAACACAGCAGGAACCGATTGTGAAACAAATAGGCAGAAAGAAATGGATATGGATTGGCGATACTCTGAGGAAACCATCAAGTGACATCACTAGACAAGCCATTGCTCGAGTGGAACCCGGCCGAAAGGGAAGCAGCGAGTTGGTCGTCAGTGCAAGGGTGGGGTGACTTGGAGGAGGTCATGTGAAGAGGAGATGAAAACGTGTGGGCATACTTGGAGCCAGGTGAAGACTCTTATCCTTTCAACTAATCCAAATGTATCCTTTACACTATGTTTCACCAACTCAGTATGAAGGGGCTGTAAGAGTTCAACTAACCATTTGGCTACCGTATGGTATGGTGAATTTAGCATATCTAATACTGGTCGTAGCGGTACACCATTTTTGTGCACTTTAGGTGAGCCATATAGTCTTGGTGTGAACGTTCCGGTGGGTTTAAGTGACGTGTACTGACTCTGTGAGATGAAGCCTTGTTGTTTCAGTCCTTTCAGTGTTTCCGCCAACTGCATCTGTATCTTTTCAATCGGATCCAGAGAAGAGGAGATTTTAAAAAACGCTAATATTGTTATTAACTACTAATTTAAAATATTCTGTGTATATAAAAATGCATGTATAATTGTAGAGCCTGGAAGAGGAATTTATCGAAAAGAACATTCTTTGCTCGATTATTTTGTGTTTTACTGTGAAATAATCAAATGTTACTTACCATTCTTATTTAATCTTCATGAGAACCTTCTGAACCACAAGCATCATCTAAATCCAAATCAAGATCATCATCATCAAATAATCGTCTTGATCGTGATGGTGATGATGAATTCATCATCATTCCACTTGTTGATCCGCCTGTTCCAGGTGACAAAAAACTCTTTGAAGCGTTAGAGGATGACGGTGTTGAAGCATAATTCACAGGGATATCTACAGACTTAAAGGATGATATTGACTTATTGTCATTACTATTTGGAATAGTAAGAAGATGTTCACTGCCAGTCTTCTTCATTGATTGTTGTTGTTGTTGCAGTTGCAGTTGTGACAATTGATGTTGGTTTTGGTGTGGTTGTTGTTGCTGGTGTTTTAAAGTTGATGTCGAGAATTTCCTCTGACTCTCTTTCAACTTGGTATCCATTTCATGGATACGAAAGTGTAGTCGTGACTCTAAATGATAACCTTTATAACTCCTAGAGAATTTTCAAGTGAAAAAAGAAAAAGTATGACATAAGATGATGGCGATGATATGATGAAATCTCATTTATGTCAAATTAAAAGGTTGGTAAAATGAAAAAAGAAAGATAAATACTGATTGATAAGATAGAATTCAATATTGTAAAAATAAAAAATATAAAAATTAATAATATTGGGTTTAAAATGACAAGTGGGTCAAGTGGAAAAGATTCAGGGAGAGAATAGTAACAATAATAATGGTAATAATATTAATAATAATCGTAGTAATAAGGGAAGAGTACATAGGATAACTAAATAAACAAAATAAATAAATGTCTATCCCTCTACGGCCAAGGCAGAAGTAGGGATTGTATATACTTCTTTTGTACACAAAGGTCTGGCTTAAAGTCATGAATTGCCAAGGCCTCAGCTATCTTTAGAAGTTTGTAACGAAGAAAACGCAGGAAGTTAGCATGGATTCTAAATATGATCTTAAAATCATGGTCAGGGTTGACAAAGTGACAGAAGTCGATCAGGTGTTCCAAAATAGGGCTTCGCACACCCTTTCTTTCTCCCTTGTAAAACCATGCTGGAATATGTTCTCGTATCCGTGTGGAAAGCGTCCTCTGACTACGGCCAATGTACCTTGCTCCACAAGAGCAGGTGAACTGATAGATGCACATGGAGGCGGCCAGACGGAGGAGCTTATCTTTTACAGAGGGAGAGAACAACTCGCGGCTAGTGAACGTCATATTTAATTTTGCTGCATAGAACGTCTTACTGACTGATTTAGAGAGACGATTTTTGAGCATATCTGAAGCTTGATCCCTACCTCTGCCTTGGCCGTAGAGGGATAGACATTTATTTATTTCGCTTATTCTATGTACTTTTCCCCTATTACTACGATCATTATTATTACTATTCCCACTCTGAACCTTTTCCACTTGACCCACTTGACATTTTAAACCCAAAATTAATAATTTTTATATTGTTATTTTTACAATATTGAATTCTATCTTGTCAAATTTCACACCATGTTATGTAACATTTTATATTCATCTGCTAATCTTATAATTATATACCCCTTTCCAATATTCTGTACACCTTATGTATTATTCTATACACGACATTAATTATTTTGCCACTTGACATTAAAATATCGTTATAATCACAAATATTTTCATTGCATTTCATGCTATTATTATTTCATGTATTCACACCTTTGACCTAATTCCCTCACCAGATATAATTTCTTTAAAAAACCCTATTTATACGATTGCACAGTTTGACAATAAATTCGTTGTTCAAAAGAGTCTCTTCGCTGAATATTGTGTTCTAAATACTGATTGACCATAGGACGAAATAACTTAGTGTTCAAAGTGATAGTTTGAGGTCCGTCAGGTACGAGTATGAGGACACCTACTCACCGATGACATTGGGACTGGTGGGAGCTTTAAAATTCATGAATAATCACCATTCAGAGAGATATGAATGAAAACAAAACACGTGTAGTTCAGCGAACAGTCTCTTTTCCGCGGGGAATTCATTCACACTTGGCTGTATAATCCCAATTATATATACTAATTTTGTTTTGTATGTGTGTGTGTACATAAGGGTTATTGTTGTTAAGACATTTCAAGTATATGATTAGTAATCAAACTGTAACTAGGAGGGTGGGGATGAAGAGTGGTAAGATGACAGTGGTGATACGTTCGTTGTCAAAAAAGCATAGCTATTAACGTTATTCAACACATAGAAGTTGAATAATCCCAATACATTTTTTCATTGGATAATAGTCAGTAACTAGTGTAATATATGCGTGTGTGTGTCCAGTCCTCTTTTTTGGTGCAGACTGAATTCTATCAGTCAAGTTTGCAATGTGGCCACCATTCTAGGTAGCTCTCACCATCACGGTGCACTCCGAATTGTTGGTGTTATATGTTTGGAGGCAAACGGCAGGAAGCCTGACCTGACCTAGGTTTCGTGCTGGTTGGCACTCACCAGTCAGTCAGCAAGGCATATTTGCAGCCTACAGTAGCTCACTGGTAACTTCTCTGATTGCAGTCAGCACTGGGTGACGCGGACTCAAATTTCAGAAGGGACATGAGTTCCTTCAAGGTTACAGATACGCCTTGCTGACTAACTGGTGAGTGCCAACCAGCACCTTACCTAGGTCAAGCAAGGCTTCCTGCCGATTGCCTCCAACCATCGAATATCATCATATCAATGTGTACCATGATGGCGGGCAACCCAGAATGGTGACCACGTTGCAAACCTGACTGATAGAATTCAGTCTGCACCAAAAAAGAGGACTAGACGCATCACACTAGATGCTAGTGTCCGATCAAAGTATCCACTTCAGTTTTACAGGAGGTCAATCGCAAGCCCGAATAGATCAGCGGTAACGTCTCTGACTGCAGCACTGGTTGATACGGTTTGAATCTCAGAAGGGACAAGAGTTCCTTCAAGCTGGTTGCAGGTACGCCTTGCTGACGAGTGCCAACCAGCCCGAAACCTAGATCAGGCCAGGCTTCCTGCTGATTGCCTCCAACCATCTAATACCAATATAAGCGCAATACAGTTACATGCTAATATGAATAGTTTAATGCGTGAATTGTGATTAGAATGTACATAGAAACAAAGGAAGATATGTAATTATGTAAGAGTTCTAAAAATTACAAATGTAATAAGGAGTTAGAAAAGAAGAAAAATAAGCATACAAACATCAAGTCAGTAGAAGTCAACGTGGTTGGGTGGTTTTCTTCTGTACACATAACTTTCTATGTTCATCCTAATAACAACTCACTCATTTAACTATTCATCCTATTACGTAACCGTATTAGGAGTATTCAGCTTCTTCTATGTGTTAATAAATATGCTTTTTTTCGACAACACATCACTACTGCCCCTTTACCAATCTTTATCCGCACCCCGCTAGTTAGAGTTTGATTTTCCATCACATTTTTGAAATGTCTTGACAACAATAACCCTAACTTATTTTTGCTTGAAGAATTTCATCATGAGCTGACATGAGTTAAAGAACCATTGGAAAACCGAGCAATACCAAAATAAATTTAAGTTTTCATGTTATTATTATTATTTAATAGAATCGCTAAAATATTAGACAATAATCGTCTTTTCCCTGCGTTTGGAAAGTTTCATGATAGCACATATCTCAAAGGAGTTTTGTTGGCGGTACAAAAGAACTCAGACGTCAGTCTCGAGCGTTCACACCTTAACCGAATAAATTTGGCTCTTGCAGAGCTAGGTATATAGGAAGTTTGCTGAAAAACAGATCCCTCCGCCGTCAAGCTCAGCACCTCCGAGATTGGTTGATCAAAAAAGAGCGTACAAGTAAGTATTAATTCATTGAAATTGCAAACTGTTGTAGATATTGACCATGCAGAATCTGATGCCGCCAGTTATGCGGCGGATACATTTTTACATAGAATAACACATTGACAGTTATAGGGTTTGAGAAAGTAAATAGTATTTGTGTGACAAACGTGCTGGGCTGATGAATGCAAATGCAAAATATTGTGTGATGTACAACTGATGAGGACAATATTTATTCCTTTACGTCCCCGGTGGAACATAAGGCTTCAAGCTAGAAGCTTGAAGTTTCGGTAGAAGTGGTGCTTATTTTTACGGGATGGGATTGCTACCCTCATTCCAAACCTTCCTTCTTTATCAGACTTATTACTGGCTTAGCAAGATAAGGGAGTGCATCCAGTGGCCATCGATCGAACCCCGAACCACATGTAGTGTGGTTGGCGAGCATTCTACGGCTGTGTCACCGACGCGATGAGGATAGTAATTAGTGATAATATGTTCAAGATTTTGATTACGAATCGATATCAGTTAGAGAACAATTGAATACCACCAAGGAGTACTAGACAACTCTTTCGTCCTAGTTTGGGCCTCATTGGAATTATGTACCCACCCACTAGGGTTGGAACCCAGGACCTTGGGGTTACAAGGCAAGCTCGTATACCATTCAGCCACTGGGACCCGAATCAACGACCACCTCATGAATTATAACTTCTATTAATTGGTGATTTTAGCACAAACACCAACCAGTTAATGTTATCAGCTGTCCAGTACTCTAGTGCTGGTTTTCAATGATTCTCTAACTCATATCAATCCGTGGTCAAACTTTATAACAGGTCAAATCCATGCACACTAACTCTTTAGAATTAATTCTCGAATAGCCAAATTCTGCAGGGTTAAACCGTCTTAGACATGGGGGGTTAAACGAGTATCGAGAAATTAAACCAGTGGCTTGAGGTTGAAGAATTATTGTGAATACGACATGATTCAACAACACGGAGACCTCCTCGACCTTTTGTAACCAATGGTTAATCAGTTATGTTTCTTTTTGGCTTAACTTTCTGAAGTTAGGAATATTTCTATATAATGAAATTAGCTTGTTCCCATAGGCTAGGACCAGTCTACCTTATATCACTAATTCGCATCGGATGTATGGGCTACGAGGGATTGAAAAGCAGTTACTTGTCGCCTTCCTGCATCGAATTCTAGTTGTATCATTATCATTGGTGCTGCTCATCTCATCCAGTATCAAATTTAGTCGAATTTATCTAGTCTAAACAATAGTATCCTTATCGTTCATAACATGAAAATTATAAACTTTTATTATTCAAGTTGTGTTTAGTCGCCTTCCCCTAACACTTCAGAAAAAAGCTTAAGCGATATGACCAGTTGAGGAGGGCATGTAACGCGTCCGTTGGTCACTTTCAGAGACAACCGATCACAGACATAATCCACAAAGCTCACCGAAAGTTAACTCCTTAGTGAAGTTCTCACTGAATATATTGTCGGGGAAGACAATGAAACGTTTACACGGTTCAATTATTCCGCTTAGAGGAGAACACATTAAACAAAATACCAGAAACCATCACCTCCTTCTCCTCTTCCTCGTCCTCCTTGAGCTACAAACCTTCTCGAGTATATACAAGGACAAAATAGACTTATCAAACTTACAGAGCTTTCTCCAAGTGTTTAACAGCCTCATCAATATCACCATCTTCATAGGATAAATGACACAATTCCATTTCACAGTAGGGTAATAAATAAGTATCCATTTTTAGTTTCTTTTTTCTGAAATTGTAGAAACAGAGAAAGGTGAAAGAGAATTGCAAAAGAAACAGTCGAAAATTTAAAAGTCTCATTTGAGGGAAGTACAGATTTAAAGGCGAAGGTAAACTCTGACTTTGGACAAACAATCTGAATAAAGGACTGTAGAAAAAACCCCTTGAGATGATCGATACAATGTACATTTAAACTGTTAAACTGTAACAACAGAAGACAAGGGTCAGCCAAAAGAGCTTTTATTGACAAAATCAACAGATATTTAGAGATCTATTAACAGCGGAGAAGCAACCTCTTCTGATTGGTTGTTTTCTTCTTCTTATTATTATTGTTCCCTTGGGTTCCTAGTGGAACATAGGGCTTCAACTGCACGTCTCCACTTGCTTCTGTCTTCTGCTGTACTTTTTACTTGCATGCATGTTAGTCCATACTGTTTCACTTCTTCTTCACACGATCTCCTCCATGTAACCCTTCGACGTATCACTCGCCGCTTCCCTTTCGGGTTCCACTGGAGCTATGGCCTGACGCGCGATATCACCCACCGGCCTCCTCAGTGAGTGTCCAATCCATCTCCACTTTCTCCTGCATATTTGTTGAGCGATTGGTTCTTGTTTTGTTTCTTCCCATAGTTTCTTGTTGGTTCTTGTTCTTTCCGGCCATCTGATCCTGAGTATAGAACGAAGACAGTTGTTGATAAAGGTCTGCAACAGGCTGTTGGAAATATTCTTTGTGACCCGCCAAGTTTCTGATCCGTATGTATAGAAGAACTGACTGACTTGACGTTTGTACTGAAAATCCGATTCATTTTGTTGTTGATGCTGAGTTGAGTGACGAAGATTTTCAGATTGGTTTCAGGTTGATGAATGTGACTCTCGCCTTCCCGATTCTCGATTTGACATCCTCGTCCGTTCCTCCTGTAGTTGAGACAATGCTCCGTAGATAAGTGAATGAAGTAACCTCTTTCAAATCCTTCCTGTTGATGGTGATTGGCGCTGGATGTTGCTGCTGCTGTTGTTGTTGGTTGGTTATTTTCATAACCTCCATCTTGTCTATGTTCACCTGGAGTCCTGTCTTCTCTGGCTGCTTCTTCGACCAGTTTGTCGGTTTTCGCTTGTAAGTCTTCGATTTTGTGTGACATAAAACTTAAATCATCCACGCGCGAAATCCAGTTCTTCTAGGTTCTTCACGTCGGTTCAGGATATCCCTGTTTTTTCGTTTCCCACTGTCTGACGCATAATCCAGTCCACCACAATTAGGAATATCATTGATGATAATAAGCACCCTTGTCTGACTCCTGTGTTTACTCCAAACGCTTCGCTGAGTTTTCCGTTGTGGATCACTTGACATGTGCCGTTGTCGTACAGCTGTTGAAAAAGGTTGATGAATATTTGGGGCACGCCGTAGTACTTGAGTAGTTTCTAAATTAATTCGCGTTTGTTTTCTGGCTGTAGGTTATTCTGTACTGCTTGTGACCGTTTCTTAGAAAGTCAAGCCATATATCTGTGAATCGTATTTGCACACGTTAAGTCTGCTGTGATTGATTGGTGAGTTCCTCAAGGTTAAGCTTCGTCACTGTTTGATTTTTCTCATGACCCCGATTTGGGACGTAAACATTGACGTAAATTGTTGTCTACAATTTCGGCTTGCAGACATCTCTCACCACAAAACTATTTCGTTGGGATCTAATTGTGACGCTATGCATCATCATCGAACAGAACACTGAATGCGTGGGTGGATGGGTGATGAGTAGATTTAGCTAAGAAGTTTTCATTTGCCTTCTAGACAACATCTGCAGTCCTGATGAGCTCACAATTCAATGCATACATTCATCTAAGTCACAAAATTGCTTTCATTGTTTCAAGTTTATGCAGATAAATTACACTTACGATTGTAGAATTTCAGTGAAACACATAAACGCTTGAAACGGTTGACCACGACATCGAAGACATACACCTTTTAGCATTAAAGCTAAACAATAATCGTCGAAAAAGTTTTCATTGGTGTCTAAATATCGACAGAGAGAGAGAAAGAAAAAAGAGTTTAAGAAAAAAGAATAAACAAAATGGTCTCTACACACAGAGAGAAGGAGGCATATCTCAGATTCTCTGAACATGTAACAAAAAGTTTACGTTTCAAGGAAGCAAATGCTTTGAACAGTGTTATTGCCAGACATTCTGTTAACATGAGTCATGAGGTAGGCACACTATGATATCCTTCTAGATTATTTATAGACAGTAAAATTCAACCCTCCTCAGATTTGCCGAAGCAATTGTTATTAGATGTTTACAACCTGACTTATGTATGTTCAGAAAGATTCGCCTATTAGTCTTTCTTTGCCTTGCGACTCAACATCTGGTCTCCTAGTCTCAATTAATTAGCTTTGGTATAATTCATTTCTATTTTGTTTCAATGACCTGAGCTTAACTCACCACACAATTACTCATCATCAACTTCTCTTCTCTTTTCTTGACTGTGAAACTAAATTTCCAATGAATCCGTCAATTAATTTTCGAAGTGTGTATTTTGTTTTGAACCTTGACCTCCTCCCTCATAAGTTGTTGCATAAATGGAAACCCTGAACATTGTTTATTAACATGAGTGTCTTTATTAACAAAAAGCAAAGTTGATCCTTGACATGCCTCATTTAAACGAAACTAACTTTGTCAAATATGCGGATGATCTGACTGTATCACTACCTATCACTTCCGAGTCTGACTACTCCAAACTTAATAGCTTTCTGTTGGACATCAGAAAGTGGTCTAAGTCAAATGGTCTTATGTTAAATCCTTCCAAATGTTAGGCAGTTAACTTTACCTTCAAGCATCGACGTGAAATACATGAACTAGTTAGTTCCCATGATGCCTGTAGCATAAATGGCACTGAAATTGAAACCAAGCCAAGCATTAAATACCTTGGATTAGTTCTTTCCTCTGACCTTTCATGGCCATCCCACATATTATCAATCTCTAAGAAAATGTCTCGTCTTACCTTCGACATTAAAAAGTTAAGACAATCAGGTATCAACCAACCTTTACTTCCGCAGTTTGTAAACTCCTTTATTTTACCTATTGTACTCTATTGCTCTTCATTAATCTTTCTTGGGCTTCTCAAAACAGACTATATCATATATTGCGAAGGGTATTAAATGCTGTGAGTAGGGCTTGTGGTATGCCACTGCGTGAGCTTGCCAATATTATAGTCGAGAGACACATAAATTCCTGTACAAAATGGGCAAAGGGCGTACTGTCAGACCCCCTGCACCCCCTTTATTCACAACTATCCCCTTGTACCTCATCAGGTAGGACGAGAAGTCAATATGAAAAGTTGTATGCTCGAACCACTAAGTACAAAAATTCTACAATACCGTATTTGGCCCGTATTTTATGTGATGAAGACACTGTTAGACGTGAAACATATAAGTTACTATGTAATTAGCAAAGTGAATCGACCCTTTCATTGTTCATCTTTCTGTAATTTTATGGTGTCACCCTTCTATCGTTTAGTTGTAACTTTGTTATTTTTATTTTAGTTGTTATTACTATTATTGCTACAATTTTACACTTTATGCCTATTTTTCTCCTTATCGCATAGTGTAATTTGCTATATAGCTGCTATAACAACGTTGTGTTATTATTATCATTATGTAATATTTATTTTTTGTCATTTTGAGTAAATTAGATGCAGTATTGTACTGAATGCTGAAAATTCCTTGCTGTATCATTGGTACTGTTTTTGGAATAAAGCGAATTATTATTATTAGTAGTATTATTAGTATTATGAAAGAATTCTGTATACATTTACATAATCAACTTTTCGATTGTAAGCAGTTGAAGAGAATCCAAAGAAATAAATCATGAACTCATATATTCTTCTGCAAAAACATTTGTTTTTGCTTTGTTTAATTTTAGATGGCTGGATGATAGTTGGTAGGAATCCTTAGACCTAGGTTTTGGTCTCGTCCTCAAGGCGCATTCGGTACTTTGAAGCAAATACTGTCTCATCGGAGTTCTGAACCTACATCAGCTAGTGGAGCGATCCGTGACGTCGTAACTAATGTATTCGAATGTCATGTGTAATTCTTATTCGTCCGGAAGATTTTCAGGAGACCAAATTTCTATATATGTCTTCGAAAATCAGATACACTTGCATATAACCAGCATCAGTTTACTGGGTGTAAGCTAATTAACCAGACACCCACTGGGATGAATCCAAACGGCCAATTGACTCTAACTTCTTTCAACTGGTGAGATTAAGCACGACAGGCATGTCTTGTAATTTCAAGGCCCTAGGTCCGCCATCTATCAGTCGGTCATATGTATGGAAATCTGAACATCTCGAAAATACAACAAAACAGCTTTCTTCAGTACTCTCAATTATCTACGGTTTTCTAACAGATATCAATCTGAATAAAGCAAGAACATCACAGTTTTTGCAGAATAACATGATACCATCATCGTTTATTTCGTTGGTTTCTCATCAACTGCTTGCAACCCAAAGACTCTTATTAAGTATACCCACCGAAAGCCTACATGTAAAGGACAATAACAAAATTTTAATAGTTTTTGGCCAAATAAATTTAAACGAGCACTAGTCAAGACTCTCTGCTATAGAGCTAGGTGAATATACTTTGCAGAGAAATTAGAGGAAGAATTAATTTTGTTTTTTTAAATTTTTTTAAAATTTTTATTATAGCTTGATTTCACACTGTATTTATTGGTACAAGTATGGAATTTTCACCATGTGATATCGGTAGCCCAAATTTCGCAGGCCGACCATTGATATCAGTTGTGCGAAAAGATGTTGAAAAACAATGGTTACCCTCAGAGATTCATTGACAGGTGCGGAAGATATGAAGGCTCAAATCCCAAACAAATTACAGTGGGAAGAAAGCCTTTCTTCATGCAACTCGATTTTAAAGGTGAAAATATTACAACAGTTGTCAACGGGAGATTGAATGCCTCACTAACCAGAGCCTATCCTACAGCTAAGTTAGTTGCCGTCTATCGTACAACATGTTCTTTTATGTAATCAAAAGTCGTCAAATATCCTTCTCATTTCAACTCCAACTGTGTATACAAATTTAAGTGTATCTGTGGAAGCAGTTACATCGGAAGAACAGAAAGAACAGGGCACACATCCGATTTTCTGAACAAAAAAGCCTTATGTCTAAAAGGGAACAAATGCTTTCAACAGTGCTATTCTTTGGCATCTCGTTGACACAGGTCATGCATTGGACATCACCAGATCGTTCAAAATTATTAGTAGATAAAAGAGTCCAATTCTTCTAAGGTTTGCAATTTTCATCAAGCGGCTGAAACCTGATTTATGTGATCAGAAAGAAGCGGTTATCAGTCATTTTTAACCCTGCTGCCTGGTAACTGGATGTTTTCATCCTCTCTTTCATTTGATTACGTAACGCCTAAGGGTTTCTTGGTGCATAATCATGATTGTTTCGGACAAAGTGATTGTTATTATTAGTGTTAGCATTGTATGCATATACTGACTTTTTGTTTAAAAATGAACTCTGTGCAATTATGTTAAAATTTTCAGGAATTGGTTTTATAGAGATTTTGTTTGATTAGTTGTAGGATTTTATCATGGGCTGACAACGGTTAGTGAACCATTGGAAAACCTGCAGGGAGTACTGGACAGCTGTTTGGTCAGCCTCGTTTGGGACTCTTCATCAGTACGCACCCACAGGAGTTCGAACACAGGACCTTCTGCTTAGAAGGCGAGCCAGCTCATACACCAGTAAGCCACTGGGACCCGATCCAATGGCCAGTCCATGAATTCTGACTTCTCAATATCTTCTCTGATGAGTTACCGCCTCACCTTCAACCGGCTTTATCCTACTGGTCACGGCTTCCTACTAGAACTCCAGGTCAACTGCCTGAAGAGGGCCAGTCTCTAGTGAGCATCAGATTAATTTTCAAGTATTGGTTTCTATAGAGCTTTTCTTTGAGTGGGTGAAGGATTTCGTCGTCTGATGCGCACTAGCGACTGGCCCTATTCAGGCAGTAAACCTGGGGTTCTATTGGGAAGCTGTGACCAGTAGGGAACAGCATGTTGAAGGTGGGGCAGGAACTCATCGAAGAAGACATTGGGAAGAGGTGTTAAAATTGTTTCTGTAGATATACTTAACAATGACTTTGGCCTGTCAGCAGCTGATGAGAAGCCAATGAAATAAACAATGATGGCACCATTTTATTCTGCACAAACCGCTATTGTACTTGCCTTATTCAAATTCATATAAAAGGGAATACACGCATGAAGATATCAGTCTGTCGCTTGATGTGAAATCAGTCAAGTCCGTGCAAACTAACACATTGAAAATTGTGCATATTTATGGCTGAAAAAGGTAGCCCTTATTATGTAGACTAATGTTATAACAGCTTTTCAATTGGCCAAAACAAAATTTCAATGTATAACAAAAATTAATGAGATTTAAATTTAGCTTTTATATAAAAAGGAAAGGAAGTTTTTGTCTGTTACCTCTGTTTTGAAACAGTTCATTGATTTTATTTTCACAAATCATAATAAATGTTGTTATAGCATCTGGTTGTGATTGAATCATTTTAAAACCATTCCAAATAAATATTAGCTCCTGAAACAAAAGCAGTTATTTTATTCAATAAATGTGCTTGACTACTTAAAACTTTATAAGTAGTAGAAAATATTTAATAAAATGTATTTTGGAACAAAATCCTCTTCACATAAGTGACATGTTTCGAGATATATTTCCTGAATCTCTAGCCATAAGTGTTGTCTGGAAGAGTTAAAATGAGGTTTTCGAAGGAAATCTTCATTCTGAAGACAGAAATAAAGTTGAATAGTTGACTGAACTGCCAACTTAGTGCCTGAATGATGGAGTCACCGCAACATAACACATTCTTCCTGATTCAACTATTTGTGGAATTTTTGAAGTTCACTCGTGAACCATTCTGATTCAGGATAAAACACCTGAGCATTTCTCTATAGTTTCCAGCTGTCCACCAGATGATTTCATTTGGTGACGAAATATACCGTAATAAAACAATATAATGATTGACAAAAGGATGGAGTTTCTGGAATTCCAGCGAGACATCATTGCCAGTAAGCTGCAGTTAGTTGGGTGTCACGAAGTCATCCATCTGAAATCAGAATTAATGGGCCACAGGAATTTTCTCCAACGGCTGAATTGTCGAGAGGTTCACCGAATAACAAATGCAAGGTGTTCAATCTCATAACAGGACTGCGTACTGTTGAATAGTCTCCATCTAGGATTAAACAGACATCCAGTACTCCCTGCTGTACAACTGTTGTCTAACTAATACCTATTCGTTGGAATTTCAAGAAATGGTCCGTTAAAATCGACTACCGACACCTTTTCTCTGTACAGAAGGTATACTGATGATACTTTTATCATTTGTGATAATAAATGTGATCCAAACAATGTTTTACAATTTTTAATGGACATCAAATTCACAAGTGAAGTAGAAATCGGACAGGCAGTCTCCTTTCTTTATGCTTGACCGACAAAGAAGATCTATAGGACATTGAACAAATCGGCATAAAGAAAGCCTACGTGGAACGGTCAGTTGACTAAAAACTTTTAAAGTCGGGTACACATTAGATCGTGAGTGAAACCTGATAATACCTCTTACGATTCTGATCAAAAGACTCTGTAACTCTGAGTCGATAGATGAATGGATCCCACTTTTGTGTAGGATAGGACACTAAATGAAAAGACCTAAAATCAATAAAATGAAAACCCTATCTCTCTGCTCAAGTTGATACTATATGTGAATGTAGCATTCAAAGGCGGTGGGTGACCTTTTGGCTAATAATCCAAAGAAGTGAATATCAAACACCCTGAAAAGAACATCATGTTTTCATTTACCAGAATATTTGCGCTGCATACCATACTACTTATTCAGCATAATATAATTAGTATATGTGTATATATTTATGGAAAATTACCAAATATTATATACTGCCAATGAACATACCAAGGCTGGAAGTGTTAATGTTTTGTTCTGTGAAAAGTAGCGTGAAGATTTCCTGAGGGCAATTTTTTCAATTGGTAAAGATCTCCCACCAAAACGTTTCACCAATTTCGGTATATCTCTAAAATGTGAACAGGTTTAAGAGTGAGATCAAGCAAGAGAAATAGTTGTCAAGCAAAATACAAGTGTACTATCTGGTCGTGAGTGAGTGTTCCTTTGCTCATCAGACTCAAACTAGAGCAAGGCAGCTGTTCACCTGCTGAGACTTTCATTGTATGATGTCATTTGATGTCTTCCCGACAGTCTGCTGACTTTTATCAACAGTTGCCCACTTCGCTTCCTTCCTTCCTTTTTATCAGATCGTCAGCAAGAAAGGAACTCCGTCAATGGACAGACCAAGAACCTACTGCCTAAAAATTATGCTGAGGAAAATAAAGATGGATGAACTGGAAAGACACTGAAGAGACCGTGTTCAATGACATTCCATGCGAGACAAGACTTCCAGTGGAATGTGAATGGGTAACGAAAAGTAGTGTATGGGTTCAAGAGTGATGTGGAGCAGATCGCAAGAGAAGACAATGCAAGCTAATGGGCGATTGTGGAGAGAGCTTTAAACGTCTGTGCTGCTGAAGCCCAATATTCCAGGTGTAACCAGAGGAGTGATTCTACTGACGGCACTTTTAGCGTGAAGTAAATCACACATTGCACTTTTAAAACTTTCAATTTCAGGAAGGGTTCATCAATGTAAAACTGTGTCTTTGAAACGCAAAACATCTCATAAAATACGGGATTCTTTTTTTAGGTTCCCTAGTCCATCAGAATTCAAGCGTTTAAAAATAACTCAACTCTGTGTACTGAATCCAAAAAGTTCGTTTTTAAAGGAGTGATCAGACTTAATTTATGGATGGACTAGCAGTGGAATCCAGGATAACGCGCATTTCGTCCTACTTGAGACTCGCCAACTAGCGGGGTGTACCTGCATTTCCCAGTGAGTGATGATGTTTCCACTGGGGCTCAAAACTGGTGCTCACTGTTTCAAACGCCAAAGTTTTATCCACTAAGCAACTTGGGCCACGAGAGCCACCTCTTGTGCAACGGGTCCTATTACTTATTTAACTGAATTTAAGATTTTCCCATCGATTGATTGGACCGAAGTGCTTGGTCTCAGGTTGAAATGTCGGCTTCTTGTACAGATGCTTCGAAGCCCAAGTGGTCTAGTGGATAACGCTTTGGCGTTCGAAACTATGGGCATTGGGTTCAAGCCTCGGCGGGAACATCATCACTCACTGGGGAATGCAGGTGCATCCCACTAGCTGACGAGTCTCAAATAGGACGAAACGCGCATTATCCTGGATTCCATTGTTAGTCACCATCCATCAGTTAACTTCTAATTACATGCCCAGACATCGTTGAAGCATCCGCACAAGAAGCCGACATTTCAATATGAGACTTAGCACTTCGGTTCAATCAATAGACGGGAAAATCTAAAATTCAATTAAGTGTGATCAGACTGTTTGGTGTACAGATCATCTAGATCCTGTGAGCAATATTTCATATGACTCGTTTCCAGTAGTATATACTACTCATTGACCGATATGAGTAGTCACACACCATTCATGTGTCGAAATTATATAAACACGGAACGTTAGTTTACTGAATATTCATCAGAGGGCAGTAACTTTCAGTTCGTCTTATTTCACAACCATTATTATTATATTATTATTGTATCCTTTAATTCCTAGAGGAACATAGGGCTTCAGCCGTGCGACTCCATTGCGTTCGGTTCTCTGCTAGAGTCTTCACCTGGCTCCAAGTCTCCCACACGTTTTCATCTCCTCTTCACATGACCTCCTCCAAGTCACCCTCACACTGACGACCAACTCGCCGCTTCCCTTTCGAGTTCCACTTGAGCAATAGCTTGTCTAGTGATGTCACTTGATGGTTTCCTCAGAGTATGGCCAGCCAATCCATCTCCATTTCTTCCTGCCTATTTGTTTCACAATCGGTTCCTGGTTGGTTGGTTCGCTCATTGCCAGAGATCTCTGTTGCTGATCTTTTCTGACTCGCCATCTGATCTTGAGTAGTGTTAAGCAAAGGCAACTGTTAATGAAGGTCTGTAGTTTGTTTGAGATGCTCTTTATGACGCGCAGTGCAAGTCTCTGATCCGTATATTGAGTAGCACTGACTGACTTCACATTGGAGTTGAAAATCCGGATCTTATTTTTGATGCTGAGTGTTGTTGACCTCCACACAGACTTGAGAGAAATGAAAGCTTGTCTTGCTTTTCCGATCAATCCTTGCTTTGATATCCTCGTCACTAAAGTCCGCCTGTAGTTGAAACGATGCTTCCCAGGTAGGTAAAAGAGGTTGTTTCTTTCAGGTTCCTCCCATGTGTGCTGATCGTTGTCTATTGTTGTTGTTGCTGTTAGTGGTGTTGCCCAGGAATCTTCATAACCTCTGTCTTCTCTATGTTCACCTGAAGTCCTATCTTTGATGCTTCTTCTGCCAACTTGTTGCTTTTTGCTTGCATGTCTTCCAGTTTGTGGGAAATCAGACATATATCATCGGCAAAGTCCAGATTCTCCAAGTTTTTTGTGTGAGTCCATTTTATGCCTGTTTTGTTATTGCCCGCTTTTTGTCGCATTATCCAGTCAACTGCAATCAGGAAAATCATTGGCACAGCTAATTTCAAATGTTCATTTCCTCACTGAAATGCAAATTTAATTCTACCTGCTTTCAATAAAGTTATGTATGAAGAAACTCGTGTGTTTTTTACACAGCGAATGTACCATCCTAGAAGGTTCCACTATACACCACTGAGGTAGAATTGATTACATTATTTTAACAGCCATAATTTTTCCAACTATTCATAAAGATATCTGCTGAAATTAGTGGATATTGGTGATCCCACTGCTCTATATTTCCATGTAAATCGAAGATAATAAGAATAATACATAACCGAATTCCCCAACGAATAGCTAACTGATGTGTGTGATATTTCAATGTGGATTTCTTCACGAATCAGCATTAGTTAGAGGTATTGCGCGGTTGTTTAGACCCAGTTTGAAACTCTTCATCACTACACATCAGGGATCCAACCCCGGGGATCTCCAGGTTATCAGATCAAGCTCATTGAAAGTCAATTGGGTGTGGGTCAGAAACTTGACGCACAACGAAAACTTTTCCAATAGGTTGCTCCATACAAAAGATTAAATGGCCAGACAGAATTAGTAACAAGAAACTCTGGGAATGAATCATCGAAGAACCTATTGCTCAGCAGATGGAGACGGACTGGGAACACTCTGAGGAGACTGTCCGATGACATCGCTCAAGTAGAACCTGATTGTCAAACAAGGAGTTAAGATTACGTCCAAGGATGCCATAGAGGAGATCGTGTGGCGAGGAGTAAATGAGCGATTACAGGCAATCTTTCCAACAGCCGCATGATAACAGCTGTACACACACATGTAATCAGATCACTTACGCAAGCAGTTGATCTACAACATCTTGTGGATTTTTCGATGTACCATCATTCGAGGTGATATCAGGCGCTGTACGATCTTCTATACTTTGTAGAAGGAAAGCGGCTTTCATATATCGATATGAAGCTTGACTCCACCGACTTTCTAAAGCTAACTTTTCTGTATAACGAATAGCCTGTTGCCAGTCTCCTTGTAATCTGAAATTTAAAAAAAAACAATAGACGCATCAAATAAAAAATAATAATAATTTGCTTTATTCCAAAAAACAGTACTTGTGATACAGAATGGAATTCTCAGCATTTTTAACTACAGTATTGCATCCAGTTAGTACATTATCAATAAATAGAATTCTACATAGATTAAGGAAATCCCAGTTCGTTATGACAACAACATATTGGGATGTCGGTAGCAAAGCCCAAATTGGACAGTGTTTGAAGGTGTTAGAAAAGTAGGGGCTGTCATATTTACTGGCGTAAGCGAGAGAAAGAAACATAGCAGCACATAACAGAAAAGAGAGAGAGAAAAGGAAAAGAAAGAAAGAAAATGTTGTACCTATAAATGATATGAGTCGGAAAGACGAGGTCCAGTTGTACTACTGACTATTTAATAAGTTAAAGGTGTCACGCCTAATGCTTTCTTTATCACACAGAACACGAGCTATGTCGGATATGGTTGAGTTTTTGTACTTGCTTGTGCGAGCATATAGTTTTCTATATAGGCTTCTGGTTTTGCCTGATGAGATGCAAGGGGAGAGTTGTGAGTGAAGAGGATGGTGTGAGTTAGATAAAATGGATTTGGCCCATTTTTCACATGAGTCCATGTGCCTGTCAACCAGAATCTTAACAAGCTGGTTAAGTGGTACGTTGCTTACCCTGCTGACAACCTTTAACATCCTGCTTAATAAGGTATAATCTTTCTTCAATAGCTCGGGAAAAACTAAGGGGGAACAATAGAGAATAATAGGCAGAATGAGAGAGTTAACGAATTGTAGCAGTAAGGGTTGGGTTATACCAGAATGTTTTAACTTCTTGATGTAGAAGGTAAGACGGAATATTTTCTTAGAAATCGCCAAGATATGAGACAACCAGGAAAGATCAGCAGATGGAATAACGCCTAGGTATTTAATTTCCGACTTGGTTTCTATTTCAGTGCCATCTATGTTGCACACCTCGTGAGAGCCAACCAGTTTGTTTACATCGGATTTATGCCTAAAAAAGGACGAAACAGCTGTCCAGTACTGTCTAAATAAAGCTGATTTCTGACCATAAATTGAAATCAATCACATTACTCCAAACCGACACTGGGAAATTAACTTAATGCTCACTCACCAGTGACTGACTACAAGGTGAAATCGCCTGAAGTTCTTGCGGGAAGTCATGACTACTGGAACCAGTTACTCATCCGTCATAACGTCAGGCAGTTTATAAAGAGGTACATCCACACTCATCACCCCACCGAGAAAGATAGAACTTATGACCTACATCTTATGAGGCAAGCTTGTTGACAATTCAGCCACTGCGATAGTATCGAAATGCCCATGAACCAACATCGAATCTAATTGGCGCGTATTTGCCCACATACCTAACTTGATGGACCTCACTGGTTCCAGTTTCTCACTAAAACTTCCGACGACTTCATTCTGGAGTCATTCGCATGTGGGCAATAGATCAGGTTTATAAAACAGTTACAGGGAAACACTCAAAAACTCGTATAACTTACGCATAACACCAGATCAACTCCCAATAACAAAGATGATGATAATGAATCCAATCAGACTGAGAATCAATTGAGCGTCCAAATAATTCAATAGCCTAAAATACAAAAATTATCAAAACAAAAGCATTTTATCCAACAGATTTATACTACTAATACATTTCAAAGTAGTATACTAAATAAAACACTAAAAAGGAAGGAATGCGTTGAACTGATAGGAAGACTGGAAGATTTACGTCCTTTAAAATTCGAAGTATATAGAAAATCAACGGGCACAGATCAAATACTCAACTATACTAGCAATAATCCAATTACTCACAAACGAAACTGTGTGCAGACATTGTTTAAAAGAGTTCAAACACATTGTAGCACTCCAGAGTTGAAAAGAGTGGAAGAAAAATACCTACAAACGGTCTTCAAAAAGAATGGTTATCCACAAAATTTCATCAAAAAGTGTTTTAAATCGAATCACAACACCAACAAGGAACCATCATCAAAAACCATAAGAAAATTCATTCTACCATACATGAGGAATATCTCTGAAATAACAGCTAGAATACTGAAACCGTTAGATATAGACATAGCACACAAACCAATAAAATCGCTTAATTCGATATTATGCAAACCGAAAGATCCAACAGAAAAAGGGGATAAAATTAATACCATTTACAAAATAATTTGCATGAACTGCAACAGACATTACATCGGTCAAAAAGGGCGTCCCCTTCGAATCAGAATCCAAGATCATAAATCAGCAGTGTAAAGACATGATATATATTCTTTAGTATCAATGCATATAGACAATTATGGTCATCAATTTGATTGGGATAATGTCAAAATCTTAGACAGAGGAAGTACTAAAAGCGCCAGGGAATTCCTAGAAGCCTGGTACTCAAACGAAAATGCAATTAACAAGCACGTTAATATAGGCGAAATATACTAACTAATAAAATGTAAATCAGGTGACCAGAAAGTTTAAAATCCGAGTCAATAGATAATGGTCAATACATAAGTAAAGATAGTTGCCAGGAGGCGCTATTATATCGCTCATGAAGAAATTTAAATCATTTCACTTTATGCTAAATATGGCGCTGAAGATGTTGTCCAGAAGGACGACGAAAGCTCCGCAACTAAACCAACCAGCTCAGAGAACACTATTAATTGCAAAAACAATATCATTCATCGGAGAACTTATCAACACTTTTGAAATACGCAGATTCACTCAAGAAGAAAACACAAAAGAATGGATTATGTAATGCAGAGCTAAACATGTTTATTAGAGTTAGTTGAGGCTTAGGCAGCCTGGTTACAGATTCACTATGAATCAGCATATGAGCTACACTTATTGCGCAACAAATTCAGATGGAGAGAAATACTTCAATCGAGTTGACTTCCAATTTATTGTTGTTTGTCCTTCAGATTCCGAGTGGAATAATAAAGCTTCAGTTGCACATGTCAAATGTTTTCTGTGCTCTGCCATTACTTTCCAGCTGTCAGCATAGCTGCCAAAAAGCTTCGGTTCTTCCTTATGTCACCATATTCATGCTACCGTTGGATGTCCAAGTCGTCACTTCTTATTCGAGGATGCGTGGATGTCACTCAAAGGGTCTCACAAGATTATATCCAATTCATCTCCATTTTCTACTGATTACGCGTCAGACTTTGCTTGGGAGCGAGGAGACAGGAGCACGTTGGACCACCGATAAGAAGACTCTAGAAGATCAGGATTTCGCAAGTGGATGATTTATGTCTAATGTCACGCAAACTGCAAGATTCACAGGCAGGGGAAACCAACAAACTGGAAGAAGAAGCTGGCTTGCAGGGATGACAGGAATTCCAGTAAACATAGAGAAGACGGAGGTGATGAAGATAACCAACCAACAGCAACAGTAACAACCAGCACCAATCACTATCAAGGGGGGATGGGAGATTTAACAAAGGTTGTCTCCTTCACTTATCTAGTTGGGCAAAGAGACGGATGATGTCAAAGTCAGCCAGCATCGGAAAGGCTAGATACGCCTTCATCAACCTGAAACCAATTTGGAAATATTCTACACTCAGCGTTAGGAACAAGATTCGCATTTTCAACACCAATGTCACATTGGTCCTTCTATACGGGTCAGAAAATTGCACTGGGTGTAACGAAAAGGATTTCAGACAGGCTACTGCAGACTTTTATGAACAGCTGTCTTCGCTGGCTCCATACTGAAGATCAAATGGTCAGCCAGAAAGAATAAGCAACAAGAAACAAACCACCCAAGAGTCGATTGCTCAACAAATATGTAGGAGAAAATAGAGATGGATTGGTCGGGCATACACATTAAGGAGGCCGCTAAATGACATTGCGAGCAATGCAGGCCATTGCTCGAGTGGAATCCAAATGGCAAGCGACTAGTGATTCGTCAGTGCGAGGGTGATATGAAGGAGATCGTGTGGGGAGGAGGAGGAGCAGATGAGAGATTATGGGCAATCGTAGACAGAGCTGACGAGGACGGCAGAAGATAGGACAAAGTGGCGATGTGTGCTGGTTGTCAGCTGGTTCACTGCCACAGCTCCTTAGTGCTTATCTTCCTTTCTGACCATCTAATCTATGGCATCTGAAAAAAACGGTACAGCTGTGGATGAAAATTCGCATTGGCCTGTTAGATATGCTTCCGGTGACATGCACACCACACAAATGAACTATATATCCTAGAACAAAAAGATATTGTTTTTACTGACGTTTCGCTATTTTATGCTAATTGCTTTATCAAAGTATAAATTAAACCGGAATTTACAAAATCTCAGCATATATATAACAAACAGTTAAGGGGTGAGAAAACAGACTTAGGTCAAGTTAAAAGGACACACTGAAAGACAGAATAACAATGAAGATCACTAAACCAAATAACAAAGGTAACAGTACGTCTGTTATGATACCAAAACAAAGTTTACTAACTTGGTCATCGTTCGTCTCTCTGGGGTCATTTTCCGTTGTCAAGTTGGTCAATTGGTAAAGATAACAAAATCAAATGTGGATTGTTGGATTTGATCAGTGTGTAAAATTATAAAAGTAGTGTGTGTTTACATAGTGAACTTGCATATCACATTCTTTTTGATTTTGTCACTTCATGGGGGAGGGAAGTGTTGTAACCAGGTTAGATTCTGTTTTAGTCCATCATTTCCATTCAGGCAATTGGATTCCACTTGATATGAGGTGCTTCTGATATTAGACGTTCTCTATGATTTCTGAAGTTTTTCTGGATTATTTCAATATTGTCAAAATCAATTTTGTGGCCTGATTCTATAGCATGTAGACGACCTATGGCTGATGATTTTTCAAGTTTTTCCAGTTCAATTGGATTTCTTGGTGGTCGAACAGATGCTCTACGGTGTTCATTACTTCTGATTTTGATTTCTCGAGATGTTTGTCCGATATATATCGCATCACATTCCAAGCATTTTATTTTATAGACACAATTAGATAGAGAATCTTTAGGGATCTGGTCTTTTATATGGACATTAGAGTTTTCTTTAAAACATCAGATACACTACGAAACAACCTTGTCCACACCACACTATTACCTTTGTTACGTGGTTTAGTGATCTTCATTGGTACTTTAACTTTCAATATGTCCTTTTAACTTGACCTAAGTCTATTTTCTCACTCCTTAACTGTTTGTTATATATATGCTGAGATTTTGTAAATTCCGGTTTAATAATACTTTGATAAAGCTATTAGCATTAAATAGCGAAACGTTAGTAAAAACAATATCGTTTTGTTTTTCATTCATTGGGAAATACAAAAACCTTTATTTTAATGAATATCATATACCCAATGCCCAAATTTTGTCAAACTGTTAAAAGTGAACTTGGTTTGGACATATATATATATATATATATATATATATATATATATATATAAATGTAGTAGAGACTCTGGAGGACAACTTGACATTGATGGTGGTAGAAATTCAAATCTCTTGTGTTACCTGTGCTGACAGTGGCGATGAACGCCTCTCCTACTTTTTAATCAATCTTGCTTGGATCTTGTTATATAGGCTTAACAGACTTCAGTGGATAAGATTACCGAAAATAACACAAACTTATAAACTTTCTAATCTCCCAGTGGTTAGATAATGAAGTCAAATATTTTACCAGGTAAAAAAAACTAGTTGTTAATAGGAATTAATTAATTACCGCCTTCAAATTTCCTGATATTTCTTCCAATCGACCAGCCAGCAGGAGGAATATAGCACTTTTAGGATAGACAACTGACCATTGATCTAACAGTTCACGAGCTTCTTTTAAATGTTCTGGTTGTTCACAAGCTGAAAAAAGTTTTTTTTGAAAAGAAAGACGATTTTTTCAGAGGCCAACAACGAGTTCCTCAGTGTATATAATGTTTGTTTGTACTTGACTGAAGTTGGTGTGCGAGTGAATACAAATTTAAACGACAGACGAAAGCATTTCTGTCGGGACGTTTGAGATTTCTGAGTATCTTAAGGATTTTTTTGTTTTAAAAGTAGGGCTTCCAGCTTAAGGTTTGACGTTTCACTAACAAACAGTGTTGTCTATCTACCGGGTGGGAGTTATTCATTTCACGCCCAACCTCCCAACTTCATCAGTCTTACTATCATCGGCTGTGTGAGGTTTCAGAGTGTCTCTCTGCTGGGAATTGAACTCCGGATGACTTTTGTAACAAGAATAGTACTAGTTTTATTCTGAACAGTGTTTATAATATAATGTACAGAGTTTCCAGAGGAGTTTATTGCACCATATTTACTCTTCGTCCACGATCAGCTCCGAATAAAATGTTAATTGACAGTAGATCGTGTAGTATGCAGCACGAATTAATCCATTACAGCATCTCTTCTTTGTCTCCTTCGAGAAATACACGACGAAATTTTGTTGAATGACAATTGTAAAAAGATCAGGAGTACATTTTGTGGACCAAGGACACAACTGAGCAACGGTCATCTCATGTAGTCGGATAGACCCACTGTCAACAACAATTATGCTTTTCCTCAAGATTGACAGAAAATTGCCAATCAGAAGATTGTAAATATTTAAAATAAGAACCAACGTGGTTCGACCCCAGGGCCACTAGACGCACTCCTTTACCTCGCTAAGCCAGTAATAAGAGTGGTAAAGAGGGAAGGTTGGGCATGAGGCTAGCAACCCTATCCTGTAAAAATAAAACGCCACTGCTACCGGAACTGTAAGTGTCTAGCTTTGTATGCAAAAGAAACAGCTCGAGTCAGTATTGCCTTTTTGGCCTGCTGAGGAATCAATAAATTCATAAGATACTTATTACTTTTCTAAAGTTATCTGATTTTCACTTTTGTGTTAAACTAAGTAAGGCATATTATCACTTATAGATACCTTTGAACTGTACTCTATTCATCTTATTATTCAATTTTAGTTTGAACGTTCCCCCACTGAAGTGTTCCACCTCTGTAGACAAAGCAGCTTCCTGTGCGGATGCTTCGATGATGTCTGAGGATTCAACTTGAAGTAATTTTCTGAATCATCACTGACTGACTGACTGACTAGGAATGGAATGCTGAATGCGTATTTCGTCCTATTTTGGACTCATCATCTAGATATACTTGCATTCCGTAGTGCTCCAATCGCGATTCAAACCCAGCATACATCGTTTAAAACGCCAAGAGATATCTCTTGTACAACAGGTTAAATCTACAGATATTGTTGTTAATACATTCACACAAGTAGCCATACATGTCAACAGAGGCCGACCACTTCATTGTAATCAATCCACTGGAAAGTCTAAAACGAAAATGAAATAATAACCAAGAGGTGGCTCTCGTGGCTTAAGTGGTCTAGTGAATAACTGTAGGTATAAGATTCGAACGTCAGTGAGAACAATATCACTCACTGGGGAATACAGGTACATCCACTAGCTGACGAGTCAGTCCCAAATAGAACGAAATCTGCATCCTGGATCGCATAAAATCATGCATTCATTGATTTAGTGTAATTTAAAACAGCATTAAATAGGATTTCAGGTGAACATAGAGAAAACAGAGGTGATGAAGATTCCTGGACAAGAACAACAAGAATAGAAAACAATCAGCCAGAATCAATGGGAGGAACCTGAAAGAAACAACCTCCTTCACCTGCCTACCTGGGAAGCATCATTTCAACTACAGGCGGAACTGACGACGATATCAAAGCAAGAATTGGAAAAGCAAGACAAGCTTTCACTATTCTCAAGCCTGTATGGAGGTCAACAGCACTCAGCATCAAAAATAAGATCCGGATTTTCAACTCCAATGTGAAGTCAGTGCTACTCACTGTGCGGATCACAGTCTTGCACTGTGCGTCATAAAGAGCATCTCAAACAAACTACAGACCTTCATCAACAGTTGTCTTCGCTGAATACCACTGAAGATCAGATGGCCGGCCAGAAAAGATCAGCAACAAAGATCTCTGGGAGCGAACCAACCAGGAACCGATTGTGAAACAAATAGGCAGGAAGAAATGGAGATGGATTGGCCATACTCTGAGGAAACCATCAAGTGAGTGACATCACTAGACAAGCCATTGCTCGAGTGGAACCCAGTCGAAAGGGAAGCGGTGGCGAGTTGGTCGTCAGTGCAAGGGTGACCTGGAGGAGGTCATGTGAAGAGGAGATGAAAACGTGTGGGCAGACTTGGAGCCAGGTGAAGACTCTAGCAGAGAACCGAACGCAATGGAGACGTGTGGCCAAAGCCCTATCTTCCTCTAGGAATTAAAGTAAACAATAATAATATATAATAAAACAGCATTAATGTTTAATTTGTGGATGGCGACTAGCAGTGGAGTAATCCAGGATAACGCGCATTTTGTCCTATTTGAGACTCGTTGCTGGCTGGATGCAGCTGCATTTCCCAGTGAGTGATGATGTTCCCACTGGCGCTCGGAACCAGTGCTCATTGTTTCATACGCCGAAGCGTTATCCACTTGGACCACTTGAACTACGAGAGCCACCTCTTGTGTAACGAGTCATATTAATTTGATTAATTAATCCACAAATTAAATTCCAATTAAATGCCAAGACATCGTCGAAGCATAAGAAGCCGGCATGTCAACCTGAGACCGAGCACTTCAGTCCAATCAATCGTGGGGAGAATCTAAAATTCAATTACAGCATTAACGTTGTTACTAATAAGAATAACTCCTTCATTTTTATTATGATCATATAAGTGAAGAACCTGATGAAGAGGGAATTATCGAGCAGAATATTCATTGTAAACTACTCATCAGTCTTTAAACATTTTTAACAGGCATGTCTAATAGATTAAAAATACAAATCACAAGGGGAAATATATTTTGCTTCACTTACATACACTTACAACGCTGTCACCTGTAGACAGAAAAGCAGGAAAAAAAACAGTGAAAAATGAGGGACAATTTAAAGGGGAACCTTATTTATCAAATGCGTCAACCCTATAGAGTAGCAGCAGCTTTGGGCTGCTGCAGAGCGTCTTTAAATATTCACCTCTTCATTTGAGGCAAGTGGGGTGATGTATTGGCCGCACAAAGTACATGCTTTCCAAACATCTTTCAGAAATTAGGCAAAAAAAGTAAATTACTCAACTGAGTTTTCAAGGATTAGGTGAAATCAGGCCAAAAAGCGCCACCGAAGTCCTCCTTTCAGTACAAGGACTGTTGGATATCGACAACTGTGTGTGTATACTCAAAGAAGCTACCAATTTGCTGAGTTATTTATTCTAAAATGCTCTTAACCGTCCTTCTACTTGTTCGCTTCTATATTGAGTTAAAAATACTATTATTATTTCATTGGATTCCGAGTGAAACAAAGGTCTTCTCTCATCTCCTCCTCACACAATCGCCCCTATGTCGCTCTGTTGATAAAAGTCTTAATTGATCTGTTGGAAATGCTCTTAGCGATCGATGCACCAAGTATCTCATTCATATAGAAGAGCTGACTGACTCAACATTCGTGTTGAAAATCCGAGTCTTGTTCTTTATGCCGAGTGAAGCAGGTTTCCAAACTGAGCACTTAGGGTGACAAAGATCTATCTTCCCTTTTTGACTCTGCTTACGACATTGTCATCCATGCTGTCGCCTGCAGCTGGAATCGTGCGTGCTTCTTATGAGGCAAGTGAAGAAAACGACTTCGTTCAAATTTATTCCGTTAATAGTGATTAGTGCTTGTTGTTGTTGTCGGTTGGTTATCTTCATCACTACTGTCTTCTCTGTCTGCTTACTCTTTCAATTTGTTGTTTTTCATCATTAAGTCTTCAGATTTGTGTGATACTAGGCACAAGTCATCCGCAAAATTCAGATCTTCTGAAGCCTTATTATCGGCCAAATGTATTCCTGTCTTTCCCCGCTTCCCACATACAGTCTACCGCATGATCCAGTCCAACACAATCAGGAGTATCATGGGTGATAATAATAATTCGTTATTATCACTAAAACCATGTCTCTTTTGTGCAGTTCAGTTTTAATTGAGTGAAACTGGATATATCGCTGATGTGACTGGCCCCATAAGAAGAGAAATGGTAGTACAGTGTTTGAATCACCGGGATCCGTCTAGCAGTCACTACTACTCACATGAGTCAGCCAGTCACTAGTATGTACCAATAAATATGCACAATTGAGTTAAAGAACACAGTTATAGTTCATTGCAAAAACATTTCAACTGAAGACATATTCTGAGCATCGGCAAACATATGTAAATGATTTAGATCAGTGTATTTATTCTGATGTGGCTCTATTGTAATAAGAGAAGACAAGAGCCAGGCAACAAATCGATTATTGACAAAATCAACAGATATTTATAGATTTTTATGTACATTATTGTTAGCGGAGAAGCAACGACTTCTGACTGGTTGTTTTTTATTGCTGAAGGTTATTCTGTACTGCTTGTGACCATTTCTTAGAAAGTTAAGCCATATATCTGCGAATCGTATTTGTACACGTTAAGTCTGCTGTAATTGGTTTTTGAGTTTCTCAAGGTTAAGCTTAGTTATTGTTTGTTTTTTCTCATCACCCCTATTTGGGACGTAAACATTGACGTAAATTGTTGTCCATCATATTGGCTTATAGACAGCTCTCACCACACTATTACTATCTCTTATTTCTGGCTTCCCTAACTTAAGTTTCAAGCAAAACTTAAATTATCGTACTGCACTGTTTGTGCGCTTTCTGTTTCCTCCCATCTCCTTCATTATCACTTGTTTATTGTTTAATAACTCCTAAAATTCTTCGATGGATTAGTCTTCAAATCTTTAATCTAAAAGATTGGACTGATTTCAATTTAGTTTACGAAATGATACAAGCTAGCTGATCAATGAAGACCAGGTAGTACTTGAGACCTGTTTTGTCCTTGCTTAGTGCTCTTCAGTAATAGTATGCATGTATCAGAGTTTAGGTGATTGAACCCAGGATATTCATGTTACGAGGCAAACCGAAGTCCATTCATCTACGAGGACAGAATCTAGTGACGTAGGAATTCTAAATCTCATCGATTCTCAAGATTTAGTTTGTGAGGATGGGATTTGTAGCCCTTTCAGTTACTGGAACCCAACCCAGCGCCCAGCCCATGAATTCTAACTTCTATTACTTCATGATTTTAGCTCAACCAACAGTCAATGTCTTTGGCGAATATTTATCCTCACTCCCGATTGAATTCGCCGTATATATAGCGCTATCGCTTCTTGCTGCTATTGGAGGATATCTGTATCCGAACCGGACATGATGGTTTCCACTGTTCATTACTTATGACTAAAGCTAAAGGCAACCACTGCCGGTAATCAGTTACCAGTAATCATTGTGGGCACTTTTCAACCGCTGGTGTGCAGGGTTTTAGTCGATTTCTAGAGAAGTAATAAAAATAAATCACTTAGAGAACCATCCAAAGATTGAGGGAGTGCTATACAGTCATTTTGTACCATGACCCCACTGAATTAAGATAGAACCCATGACCTTCAAAATTCATTTGACAGCCTCTGGTGACTGACTGCTGGATGAAGTTTCTGGAGTTCTAGATTTTTTATTTGACTAAAATTATGACTGGTATATGATTCCGCGGGCTTGAATTCAGTATTCAGACTTAAGAATTTATAGGGATTTGGAGCAGTTTCTGCGTGGGTTAGCAATTGGCTGAGTGGGATCTCATAATCTTAAAACCCCTGGTTTGATCACAATTAGAGCGCTGTGCAGAGACAGAGATGAAGAGTTTCGGACTGGGACGAAACAGATGATCAATGCTCCCTAGTCTTCAGTGATCTCTAACTAATGTTGGTTCGTGACGGAGTGCAACACATATCAGAAATGTTTCAAACTACCGACATACTACTTACCAAGCATATGAGTAGCATACAAGTCGTAGGATAATAATAATAAAGCACATAGTGGACCACGTAGTGAATCATGCATTTGTGCACCCAATCGAAGTTGTTCCAAACCAAATTGCTGTGAGAAAAAAACACAAAACAATAGAAAAAATAACATTCGGAACAGAATATGGAAGTTTGAGATTTTGAAGTTTCAGCTAAGGCGGTGTTGGTTTCATTTGGTGGGAGTTGTTACGCTCACACACTACTCTCCTTTTAGTCCAAGATTACCATTGGCTTGTAAACCAGGTAGGGTTTGAAATCGTGTCATTCAGGACACGAATATGGGCCGTCTACATGACTGATTAGCGTTGAACTTCTAAACCAAAGACTTGCAGTTACCAAAATGACGTAGATCACTCTTAGTTCCACCAGTTTCACAGGAAGTGCCACTAGTGGCTAAATAGCCAAGTGGATAATGCCTTCTTATTTAAAACGATTAGTGACGGGTTTCGGTTCCCGGTGGAAATAGGTATCATTCATCGAGGGACACAATCACATTCAGATGACTAGTCACAAAGTGGGTAACATCACGTTCCTTTATATGCAAATGAAGAAATTCAACAGAATATACCCTAGAATGTAGCCGTAACTGATGATTCTGTTGCAACTCGCTAAGCAGTAAGTAAGGTGCTGACTGGCTCAACTGTAAATGACATTTTTCTAAACTCCTTCGCTTCCCCCGAGTTGAACATTTGACTGCAAGCTTGAAATCTTGGTAGCGGTCATGCTACCTAACGGGATGGGGTTGCTAGCAGCACATGCCTAATCTCCCAATCTTTATCGAGCATACCGCAGGCTAGCAAAGTTGAAGTTTGGAAGTTGATGTGTCAGGTGTAAATCAAACCCGCAGCATGTGTTATTTACTGGGTATTTATTCTGTTAACGAAATGATGGAGAAGATTTAGAACTCGGATGATTGATTTTTGGTATGTTTGCATTCTCTGAACTAGATGGTTTAATAATAATTACAAAGCTTTTTTATTTTCAGTTCATAGGATAGATTACATGAACTCTGAGAACAAAACTGTTCTATCAGGTGTTAGTTTAATGGGATTTGATTGATTACAGATTTAATCACAAGTTGAAAAAGACTGATGGTACAATAGAAAGAGCTATATTTAGAAAATCTTTGTGTATAGGACGGTACATGTATTTTAAAGTTTTGTTCCAATCCAATATAAAATAAACTTGTTTGGAGGTATTCATCATGGGCTGACATGAATGTTAGAGAACCATTAGAAAACCAGTGCAGGAATATTGGACAGCTGTTTCCTTCATCCTAATTTGGGACTCTTCAACAGTACCCACCCACCTAGGTTCGAGCCCAGCACCTTCTGGTAACACGGTGATCTCGTAGACCCGATCAAATGGCCCGTGAATCCTAACTTCTGCCACCGGATTCGAACCCCAGTGGGTGGGTACTGATGAGGAGCCCAAAAATTGGACGAAACAGCTGTCCAATAGTCCGGCGCTGGTTTCCAATGGTTTTCTAATACTGATGTCAGCTCATGATGAAATCCTTCAACCAATTAAACAAAATTCCCTACAAAACCAATACTTGAAAATAAAAAGAACTTATTCACAACACTATTCAACAGAACACAAAAATTTGTTCTAGAAGTACAAATGAACATGAAATAAAGGCTCTGAAGGATATCTTATCTCTGAATGGATATCCTTAGAAGGTCATTAATAAATACTCTAAAGAAATGAGGCCCAGTAAGACTATCCAAACACTTCCGAAGAAATCTGTCTATTTCAATACGCCATTCAGAGGTGATGACGCACAAGAAGTAGTCAAATGAAGACTCGAGAAAGCTATCAAGAGAACTTATTATGCTGCAAAACTCGTCTTCCTTAACACCACAAAGTGGGTACTTCCACAATCTGGGAAAGAATAGTCACCAATCCTTGACAAACTTCAAACTGCCTATATCAATTTGAGTGTGTTTGTGGAAGCAAAAACATAGGTGGTACAGAAGGGTGAAATTCAACTCGCATGATGGAGCATTTGCCAAGGTGGTTGAAAACAGATGAAGTTAAAGTGCCTAAAAGTTCAATCACAAAGCAACTTGTGAACTATGGACATGATATCGACTCACTGTGAAGTCATTCACTGTTGTCAGTCGACAAACCAACCATGTGTCTGTGCACAAAAAGAAATGCTGGCCAGTCCTAATCTACCATGGCAATATGTTTTAATTATTGATATTACTTTATTCCACGCCTTATTATTACTATTTCTAATTCATTTAAAGCTATCTTTAATCGTTGGTATTATTAGATGGTTGGAGGTAATCGGTAGGAAGTCTTGCCTCACCTAGATTTCGTGCTAGTTGGCACCCATCAACAAGGCATATCTGCAAACTTGGAGGAACTCATGTCCCTTCTGAGATTCGAACCCATGTCACCCAACTATCTTTTATCATTACCATTTCCTTAACTCATTTTAACATTATTATTGATTATTATTGTCAATATTATTATCAATATTATATAGTCAGCAATTCTTGATATTCAAGTATTGGTTTGTAGGGATTTGGTCGATTGGGTACAGGATTTCATCATGAGCTGACATTGGTTAGAGAATCATGGGAAAACCTGGAAGTACTCGACAGCTGTTTCATCCTAGTTTGGGACTCTTCGTCAGTACGCATCCACCGAGGTTCATACCCAGCACCTTCTGGTTACAAGGCGAGCTCGTAGGCCATTGATCCACTGGGACCCGATCCAATGGCCCATGAGTTCTAACTTCTGCCTGGGGTTCCAGTGGGAAGTCGTGACCAGTAGGGTGCAGCAGGTCGGGTGAGAGGACAAATACTCGCCGAAGACATTGGCTAGTGGTTGCGCTATATCGTGAAGTGGCAGAAGTTAGAATTCATGGGCCATTGGATCGGGTCCCTGTGGCTTAATGGTATGCGAGCTCGCCTTATAAACCAGAAGGTCCTGGGCTGGAATCCTGATGGGTGCGTACTGCTGAAGATTCCCAAACTAGAACGAAACAGCTGTCCAGTACTCCCAGGTTTTCAATGGTTCTCTAACTAATGTCAACTCATGGTGAAATCCTGTAACCAATTCTTGGTATATTCAAGTTCTTTCAATCGCTGATGACTAATTGTCTATTTAATTGATATAGTTGAACCGTAATGTATCTTAATTTTATATCCTTGTGTTTAGAGTATCCAGCTGAAGAGTGGCTCTACCGAGATGTGATGAATTCATCAAATCTTGCTTTACTAACTCTTGTTGCCTATTTCAAATTCGTATCGAGAAATAAATGTTTCTAGTTAGAGAAGCATTGAAAAACCAACAAGGATAATTGGACAGCTGTCGATTTCATCCTAGTTCGGGACTCCTCAGTGTTACGCACCCACTGGGTTTTGAACCCATTTACAGTTACAAGGTGAGTTCTCAGACTATTCTACCCCTGGGAGCAAATCCGATGGTAAAATGTTTAATAGTTGTCAGACCAAGTCACTGAAACTTGCTGAATTGGTTTATTAAATACTCCTTTGAAGTTTGAATTGATAGCTGCTGGTCTCGACTTTCATTGCAACACATTACTACTCAGTGGGGCTTCAGTTAAATTTAGCTGGTGATTCCCAAGTGAGGTAGAAGGCGATGAATACACGTCGGATGTACAGACTTATTTCATTCCTTCAGGGCGACAAATATCCCTTCCTCACCAGTGATGTCAAGCATGAAACTTAGGTCTAGACCTTCCTACCGATTAACTTCTACTATCCGACATTATTGTACAAATCATTGCAGGGATAAGAATCAATCAATGCACAGTCCATCTACTTAGGTGACTGTCTCATGTACTGGTTTGCCTATTTCTGATTGGTTTTACACTTTCATCCAATGATAAACTTGGCTGATGTGAGGAAAACACAACCTAAGTTAAATTAGCGTTATATTTGAACATAGTGAAATAAAATTTTGTTATTCAAGGGTGGGTTTGCAGCAATTTCATTGAAACGACTACAGAATTCCATCATGGGCTGACATCCATCAGACAACTGTTTCGTCCCAATTCGAGACTCTTCGTCAGTACGCAGCAACTGAGTCCCAAATTGGGACGAAACACCTAGTTTTCTAACTGATGCCAGTTCATGATGAAATCCTGTAACACAACTTTTTCTTTGGTGTAATGGCAATTGAAAATGGTGGTTTTCATAATTTTCAGAATTTACGGTCACTAACTTAGTTATCCGCGCGTGTTTTAAACTCTATACTCATTATCACATAGAACATTTTGACCTCAACACATGCATAGTTAGATATTGCTATGCCTTTATTTACACAGATAAGACAAGAAAACTTTTGACCAGTTTAAGGAACTTGAAGTAAACTTTGTAGAAAACAGTTTCAATGGTATAAATAGAACGAATGCGTGAGTTGGTGAGTTAGTATTAAGCGTTAAGCGATCGAAGCTTACTCTACCCATCTGTTAGCATGAGCATAACCAGGAATTAAGATCGACACATAATGTTTGAAAAAACAAAACACATTAAAAGATGAAGTTTTGAGGTTTAGTTTATTATAGGAACGTTACTCAGCTATTCCTAGATGCTATGACTTCACTCTGTTTGAGAGCTTTGATCGAATCTTGTATATATACACTTTTGAAGGACTATCCAAATGGAGGGAGATTTATCATTATATATTATTGTTCCCTTGAGTTCCTAGTGGAACATAGGGCTTCAACTGCACGCCCCCACTTGTTTCCGTCTTCTGTTGTACTTTTCACTTGCATCCATGTAAATCCATACTGTTTCAACTCCTCTTCACACGATATCCTCCGTGTCACACTTGGACGTCCCACTCGCCTCTTCCCTTTAAAGTTCCACTCGAGGGCCTGACGCGTGATGTCACGCAACGGCCTCCTCAGCGAGTGTCCAATCCATCTCCACTTTCTCCTGCATATTTGTCGAGCGATTGGTTCTTGTTTTGTTTGTTCCCATAGTTTCTTGTTGGTAATTCTTTCCGGCCATCTGATCTTCAGTATAGAGCGAAGACAGTTGTTGTTGATAAAGGTGTGCAACAGGCTGTTGGAAATATTCTTTGTGACCCACCAAGTTTCTGATCCGTATAGAAGAACTGACTGACTTGACGTTTGTATTGAAAATCCGAATCACTTTGTTGTTGATGCTGAGTTGAGTGACGAAGATTTCCAGATTGGTTTCAGGTTGATGAATGTGTTTCTCGCCCTCCCGATTCTCGATTTGACATCGTCGTCCGTTCCTCCTGTAGTTGAGACAATGCTCCCTAGATAAGTGAAATGAAGGTAGCTGAATATCCTGAATTCACAAGATATTCTGTTATTGTTCAGCAGGACAATTCCAGAAGCTCCATCTTGCCATGTCATCATCAAGTTCTCATTATCCTTCAAATCGTAGAGCTGCTTTTGGTAACAGAACATCTTGTGAACTCTGGACATTCAGGTCCATTTGAACAGTTCTTCAAAGTCATACACAAGATCCAATTAAACTTCTCAAAGGGAGTGAAATCAAGGCATCTGGCTGGGAATAGTTGAGGCACCAGCGATCCACGCTGTGTATTCAATAGAAATGCATCCAACCGTTGTCCTTACCATGGTCATCATAAAAAGCTGGTTCTTTCAATATTGATTATCCTATTACCATTCTTATCCAATCTTCATGTTTATTACACTTTGTAATTTTATTAATTTGACCCATGACCGGAAGGAAGTAATTCTGGAGCTTTCTCACCCATTTACTACAACTATATAGCAATCTATTTGATGACACTGTTGAAACCGTCTTTTTAATATTTTCTATGATCTAATGTAGATAGATATTCGGGAATTTTAAATGTACTGAGAATGGAATATTCGGGAACAGTGACACAGTCTGCTAGAGTTTACAGACGTAGAACAGCTGAATTTGTCATCTGAAGTGAATTCTCCCTTGAATTTCTTTTGGAAACTGAAGTTCTTCATATGAAAGTACATGATGCTATATATCACTGATTGTGATTGAGGTGTGTAGTCGTGTGAGTACCACTCACATCAACCAGCAGTGCTATTCCGCCATCAGATCCAAGTTGTCTAAACATCCTAGAACCATTTCGCTCGTTTGGTACTCGAGCTCATCTATGGTGCACTTGGAATGACTCAAATAAACGACAGCGAAGTCAATTTAAATCAAACAAACTGTGGTTAGCTACTTAGGTGAACTGATGAACACGCAAATTCCTCCTGTTTAGGACTCGTCATCTGGATGTCGTCTCAATTTGGCGTTTAAAAAACAATGAGCACTGGAGACACAATCACTCCCTGCGAAATGCAAGTACATCCAGATGACGAGTCTCAAACAGATGGAAATTGTGTATCCTCGACCCCACTGCTAGTTGAATTTATAGATATATGGGCTTTTTGGAATGACTGAACAAAATAAGATACAATTTATTTGGCAGTAGAACTTAGAGTGTCTTTCATTCTATCTAGGACTTGTCAGTTCAATTTAATTGTATCTCCCTGAGTGATCGATGTATATATATATATATATATATATATATATATGCATGGACACGGAACAAAGAGTACTCTTTTCGATAAATTCATCATCAGGTTCTACAATTATATATACATTATAACGAATGAATTAGTCTTATGAACGACATTAATGTTGTTTAAACAACATCGAATCAATAATATTGATAAATTACAGCTGAATAGCATCAACACAAAATAAGCTGAATGTCAGAAGAATTAGGAAAGATAATAGTACAAATTCATGAGTTTATAGTCTCTACTGAAGGCCAGGGCAGTAGTAGGGGCTGGACTTGCTTCTTTTAAACACAGAGCACTGCTTATTTGAGGCGAATTGCAATAGCCTCTGCTGTTTGGAGCAAGCGGTGCTTCGACGATTTTGGTAATTTGTTAGGCACCCGGTATATTATAGAGAAGGATTCTTCTACGCTGGCTTTGTGACCGGTTTGCACCAGAAGGTCTAATATCGAGCTGTTAATAGTTTTAACTACACCTTTACCTAGCCATAGTGGGGGATGTTCTTGCGCGAGCACGAAAAATCAAGTTTCTAGAGCAACGGCCAACATAACTCGCTCCACCACAAGTGCGGTTGAATTGATAGATCCAATTTGAAGTGGCTAGTCTAGGTACTTCATCTTTCAGTCGAGGGAGCAGTTAATCAGTTAAAAAATACATATATGCCTTTTCATTTTTAAATGGAAAATCAAAGTTCTTAAGACTTACACGATCCCCTGAGAAGCCAACAAACTCCAGTAATTTCAACACACGTCTTGGAAGCATTGATATCATCTGCGTATTTCAGAGGTAAAAAGGAATGTATATACATATTTAATCAATTTTGTTATTAAATAAAAGTTTCATTTTAAAGAAAGCAAATCAATTTCATGAATATAAGAAAAACAAAGTTCACCGAAAAGTCTCTTTTCGGCGGCGAATTCATTCATCACTTAGCTGTACAATCACATTTATATGTTTTCTAAAATTTGGTTTGTAAGGGTTAGTTATGTTTTTACGAGTTGATCACGGCTGGATGGTATACGAGCTTCCCTTGTAACCGAAAGGTCCTGGGTTCGAATCCCAGTGGGTGCATACTGCCGATGATTCCTGAAGTAGGATGAAACAGCAGCTGTCCAGTACTCCCTGGTTTTCAATGGTTCTCTAACTGATATCAATCCGTGATCAATTCGCAAAAACATAACTAACCCTTACAAACCAAACTATAGAAAATTAATCTGATGATCGCTAGTGAATTGCTACAGGATGGAGTTTCCTGGAGTTCTTGTGAGAAGTGGTCTAAACATCAAACAACCGTTTCACTCTGCTTGTTACTGAAGCTCAAGCACCAGGTTTTCCGGTGGTTCTCTAACTGATGTCAGCTCATGATGAAATCCTCCATGCAATCAAACAAAATCCTTACAAAACCAATACTTGAAAAGTATTAGATAAACTAAAATTTTTGGTTAAATTGCCTCCACTGGCAGGATCCTGTAACCATCAAAGTTTGTTTAAAAGTGAGTTTGTGGGTGGTTTGAATGACACTCTTATTCCTGCATTCTCGAGAATTCCACGTAAAGCGTCCAAGATTGCTTCCTTGTATCCAGGTAGCACTGACGATTTAAATTCCATAAGGATATTATTGTTATTAACCTGTGCATTCTCGACATGCATGTCGTCATTATTGTTATTATTATTATTGTCACTATCACTACTATTATAATTTATTTTAGTTTTAAATTTCCCTATATACTTCGTGATTAATTTATCGGGATAATTGTTAAGTTTCATAGCTTCTCTTATATGCCTCACCTCCTGTCTTAAATTTTTGGAATATATATATATGAACTTTATCTTGTGTAATTATTTTTTTAACATGGCATTACTTTTATATACACGTGTTCTTTTAAATTATGCGCCTTTACCTAGGACGTATCTGATCGGTCGATAGAGATTTGTCAAGCAGGGTCTCTAATAGGTAGTTTCGTTTTGGGCGACAATCGTATTTCACCACTGTTCCCTTATGTCTTTGAGTCGACTTTCAAAACCACCAGTGAGCATTTCTTGGAAAATAATGAAAAATATCAAAAGGTATTTGTCTATGCTTCAGATCTAACAGGACTGAGTCATACGAAATACTACATAATGCTATTTTACTTGAAAATTCTGGATGAGGAGAAGATATTATGTAATAAATGAGTTGAGCAGAAAATTCTGAGCACTGTGTAAACATTTTGTCCAGCTGTTATTACTACTATTATTATGACTATTATCAATCGTATTATCTACAGGAAACAGTAGAATGACTGAATATTACACAAATGGAGGATTGATGTCTGAGTTGACTAGTGACGAGCGATAAATGGGGCGAAATCCGCATCTGGGATCCAAGTCCGCTTTATTAACAAATTATATGTACTTTATACAACGGTCCTCGGGACGGTAAACACCAATGGTTGGAAACAATTGGTGACATGGCTCAAAATCGTTCTCAATGGCTGGCCGGTGCAGATGCATCCACTCCTTGTGACTTATGATTTCCAAAGAAACTATTTTGTTCTTCACTATTACTATTCCTTTTTCTCACACCTCTGTTTACTGTCTATATTATGCATTTCTCCTACTTTCTTCTCTTGCTTTGTGTGCTTCATGGAGTGTGGCGACTTGAACTGCCGCACATATGTGCAAAGTTCTGTGTCAAAAACAGACAGACAGACAACGGGAGAGATTTGAAGGAGGCTACCACATTCCTTCACTTGTCTAATCAGTGAGCATCCATTCAACCAAAGGCAGTCACAACGGATGAGGATGTAGAAGCCAGGTAGAATCAGAAAGTCAGTATACGTCTTCATCAACCTGAAACCAGTCTGGAAATCTTTCGCACTATGCACCGTAAACAAAAATATTTGGATTTCATTCAACACAAATGTGAAGTCAGTGAGTTCTTATATATGTGGATCAGAAACTTGGCCAGAGTGTCAAGATAAGTATTTCCAACAGAGTAAAGCAGACTTTTACCAACAGCTTTCTCCTACTCTGGTTCCATACTCCAAATCAAATGGCTGGCTGGCTGGTCCGAACCCCGATGGGTGCATACTGCTGTAGACGAAACAGCTGTTCAGTACTCCCAGGTTTTCCAATGGTTCTCTAACCAATGTCAGCTCATGATGAAATCCTGTAACCAATCAACCAAATTCCTACAAACCAATACTTGAATATCAATGAGATGCTCACCGGCGACTGGCCCTATTCAGGTAGGTAGTTACCTGGGGTTCCAGTGGGAAGCCGTGACCAGTAGAGTGCGGCAGGTCGGGTGTGAGGACAAATACTCGCCGAAGACATTGACTAGCGGTTGCGCTATGTCGTGAATTAGCAGAAGTTAGAATTCACGGGCCATTGGATCGGGTCCCAGTGGCTCAATGGTCTACGAGCTCGCCTTGTAACCAGGAGGTCCCGGTTTCGAACCCCGGTGGGTGCGTACTGACGAAGAGTCTCAAACTAGGACGAAACACCCATCCAGTATCCCAGGTTTCCCAATGGTTCTCTAACTAATGTCGGCTCATGATGAAATCCTGTAACCAAATAATAATACTCTTTCATTCTGTATGTGATATATCTAATAAATAAAATAATATTGAGTCAGCCAGACAATTAACTTTAATTTAATGACAAACTCTTATTCGATATCCGAAAAAGAATATGACCTTGGTAGAATAATACTTTAAACAAGTTCACTGGCGCCAAACTCAAAGAAAGCATCTTTTCAAACAATCCATTTATATATTTATTTCTCAGAAAAAAAGTTTTCTCTGATCCTGTGTTGAGAGAGAAAAACATTTTTCTTGTCCGGAAGTTAATCATTTCAGCAAAAGACTCTATACTGTATTATGTAACAATTTGGAGAAAGTAGTGAATTTGTCGATATAAAAATAGTCTGTTTTACAAACTAATCATAAAATTGTATACTCAACAAGTTGGTTTCAGGTGAATTTCAGAGAAAAATTAAAAACTCAAAGAGAAAGGCTGATCTGATCGAAAGTTTTCTGTCCCATTCTGTGTCCAATATCTACTCTACTGACTGACTGCTTGAACAGTTATACTTTTAGTCAATGCATATGTACTGAAGGATTAATTAACGTCTACTTTTACAGTTTGTTAATTCTCACTCATCTTACTAGTTGTTCGTTACTGCGGTTACTCAAAAAGAACTATTCAGTATTGCGAAGGATATTAAAGGTTGTCAGTAGGACAGGTAAGTAGTGCGCTACTTAGTCAGCAAACTCGTTACTATTTTGTAGCCAATAGACACCTGTAGTCATATTGTGGGAAAGGGGGCCACGGAGCCGAATATATCCGATGCAGCTTCTTTGACTACAAATACAATTTGGACTCGATACGCAGATGCGTTTTCTTAAATAAGCTTTCCTTTACACAAACCCAGTCGTGACTAGTTAACTGTTGACATTCTTATTTCTGTAAAAGAATGCGGTATACTATATACAAGGGAAAATCTTTCTCTGCCTTGCTTTATGAGGCTGAAATCCTTCAATGTGTTGTTCTCACTCCCTTTGGTTAATCTTTCTCTTTACATGACTTGCCTCTTTTGGAAAAAATTAACTTCGTTAAATATACTGATGATGATATGACTGTCTCGCTGTCTGTTACATCCCGATCTGACTATTCCAAACTTTAATAGCCTTTTGTTGGACATCATCCAGTGATTTAACCTAAATGGTCTTACATTAAATTCCTTCAAATAGTTCAGGTGGTTAACTTCATCTTCAGGCATAAACGTGATCTACACGACCTGGTTCGTTCACAAAGTGCTTGCGGCATAGATGGGAGTGTAGTAGAAACTAGGTATAACACAAAATATATTGGAATAGTTGTGTCCTCTGACCTTTCTTGATCGGTTACTGCATATCTTGTCGATTTCTAAAAGACAAAACACGTAGATCAGCGAAGAGTCTCTTTTCGGTGAATTCATTTTCTTAGCTGTACAATCGCAAATATATATGTGTTATTTTGTATGTATGTGTACATTAAGTTTGTCAAACAAAAATACAATTGGTTATAGTTATTGAAAATAAACAGGTGAAGATTAGTAATTGGTGTTATGTAATACAAAATCAGTCAAGAAAATTAGGTTTTAGTGAAATTAGGGTAGTAACAAAGGTGATGAGTTGTCACAACCAGTTGTTAAAATACTATTGCATAACTTCTTTTAACAACTGTTTGTGAAAACTGATCACCTTTGTTACTACCCTAATTTCACTAACACCTAATTTTCTTGACTGATTTTGTATTACGTAACTCCAATTACCAATCTTCACCTGTTTAGTTTAAATAACTATAACCAATTGTATTTTCGTTTGATAAACTTATTGTACACATACATACAAAATAACACATATATATTTGCGATTGTACAGCTAAGAAAATGAATTCGCCGAAAAGAGACTCTTCACTGATCTACGTGTTTTCTTTTCATTAATGCCTGGATGGGGATTATACATGGATTTCTAAAAAAGCATGCCATCGTCTTAACTTCTACATTAAGCAGTTAAGACACTAAGGAATCACCCAACCTCTACTTTTACAATTTGTTAACTCTTGCAACTTACCTTTTGTTCTTCGTTGGTCTACCCTAGGCTACTCAAAAAGGACCATGACATATTGTGAAGATTATTAAAGGCTATCAGTGGGGCAGGCAAGTTTTGTGTTGCTTTTCCAGCAAGATCGTTACTGTGATAGTCAACAGATATCTAAAAATGATGCAAGAAATGGTCTAACTCCATCCTCTCTGACTGTCAACAACCCCTGCCTTGTAAATCATCAGGAAAGGACTAGAAGTTGTTGTAAAAGATTATATCTTCGAACAACCAAGTACAAAACTCGTCGGTACCTTATTTGGTCCTCCCGTGGTCTATGAGGTGATAGAGATAGTGTTAAGCGTGAAACCTACGACTTACTAAGTAGTTAGTGAAACAATCGGCTATTTTACCTTCTCCTATTTATAATCTACGGTGACACTATCTCAGTTTATAATTTTATAATTTATGATCTTATAGTTTTGTGGTAAGAGCTGTCTGCAATCCGGAATTGTGAACAACAATTTACGTCAATGTTTACGTCCCAAATCGGGGTCACGAGAAAAACAAACAATAACAGAGCATAACCTTGAGGAACATACTAACCAATCACAGAAAACTTAACGTCTGCAGATACGATTCGCAGATATATGGCTTAACTTTCTAAGAAACGGTCACGAGCAACAGTACAGAATAACCTTCAGCAATAAAAAACAACCAACCAGAAGACGTTGTTTCTCTGCTAACAATAACGTTGATAATAATGTACGCAAAAAAATCTATAAATATCTGTTGATTTAGTAAATAAATGATCTTTTGCCTGACCCTTGTCTTCTGTTGTGACAGTAGTAGTATTCCAATACCCATACAATCATTCATGTCATGCATTTATGTTTCATTACTTGATTATCACTTGTGAAATCAAGCAGATCGCAGATTGTGTGTGTGTGTGTGTGATCTGAATAATTTCACTTTCTAGAGAAAAAATGTGAACAACTTTCACATCATGAATTAATTTGAAAGTAGCGAATTCGGTTGAATATTACATGGTAACGTTATATCATTTTAGTTGACTGATCACATTACAAGATGATTCATGAAGTTTATTATTATTATTATTGTTTCCTTTAATTCCTAGAGGAACATAGGGCTTCAGCCGTGCGTCTCCATTGCGTTCGATTCTCTGCCAGGGTCTTCACCTGGCTCCAAGTCTGCCAACACGCTTTCATCTCCCCCTTACATGACCGCCTTCAAGTCACCCTCGCACTGACGACCAACTCGCCGCTTCCCTTTCGACTGGGTTCCACTCGAGCAATGGCTTGTCTAGTCATGTCACTCACTTGATGGTTTGTTTTCTCAGAGTATGGCCAGCCAATCCATCTCCATTTCTTCCTGCCTATCTGTTTGACAATCGGTTCCTGCTCTGTTGGTTCGCTCATTGCCAGAGATCCCTGTTGCTGATATTTTCTGGCCGACCATCTGATCTTGAGTATTGAGCGAAGACAGCTCGCTGTTGATGGAGGTCTGAAGTTTGTTTGAGATGCTCATTATGACGCGCAGTGCAAGTCTCTGATCCGTATAGTATCACTGACTGACTTCACATTGGAGTTGAAAATCCGGATCTTATTTTTGATGCTGAGTGCTGTTGACCTCCATACAGGCTTGAGAATAGTGAAAGCTTCTCTTGCTTTTCCGATTCTTGCTTTGATATCCTCGTCAGTTCCGCCAGTAGTTGAAACGATGCTTCTCAGGTAGCTAAATGAGGTTGTTTGTTTCACGTTGCTTCCATTTATGCTGATTGTTGTCTGTTGTTGTTTAGTCAACGTTAAAAGTTCTTTTTAAAATTTTTTAAAAATATCATGTGATTATTATTCCCTGGAGTTGAATATAGGCGTTCAACAGCATATCTCTACTTACTTCCTATTCTCTGTAGTCCTCTCCAGCTGGTTCAACTATTGCCCATAGTCTCTCATCTCTTTTTCTCTCAATCTCCTCTATGTCACCCCTTGGATCATTGCCACACACTCTTCGTTTCCCAATCAAGTGCCAATAAACATTAAAATTTAGCTGAACCTAGAGTAAATAACCTAGATAAAAAACAGAGCTCAGCCATTGCCCTGTATTCACATGAATGTAATCACACAAAAGAGTGGGTGAGACAAGATGGGAGTATTAAACAGTAATTTAGTTAGGTGGAGGTACATAGAGGTCAATCCCTGAAGCTTTTTCTTTTATCGATTCAACAGCACACACGTGCAATTGGAGTGATGCGACGTATATACTGGAGATATGAAAAGTGGCAACAAACAACAAAGGGAAGTTGGCGAGAGAGACAGAAAGAGATACAGTATTTATAAGGTAAATTGTGAAACCGTCTGACCAAAATTGATATAAGATTTGATAGGGTGGAATATTCCTATATTATGAATTAAAAGCCAATCTGAACGAAGAATATTCTTTTCAATAATTTCCCTACCTCAGGTTCTTACAATTATGGAATATAATATTTGTTGTCGTCACAGTAATAATGGCCAGTTATGCGGTGGATACATTTTTAACGTAGAATGACAGATTGGTTATGGGGTGTCAAAATAAATAGTCGTATTTGTGTGACAAACGTGCTAGTTGGCTGAAGTCGATTACAAAATATTGTAAAATGGGAGACAATGGTGGTGATTAGTCATAATAGACTCATAGATTGTGGGGTAGGAAAATCGACAAGTCAGTTTAAGGTTATATAAAGTGTCAGGTGAGTGGCTAGTACAAAGTGGTCTGTGTTAAACAGGAGAGGTTCCGGTTTAGTCAATCTTATTGCGACAGTCTCAGCTATGCGTAGGAGACGTAAGCGAACTGTACGTGATAACAACTTCGGAATTCGGTATATAACCCTGAAAGCTCTGTTGACATCGATATGATGTCCAGTATCGACCAAGTGTGACAGGATCGAGCTTTTTATGCACTTAATTTTCCCCCTGCTTATACTGGACATCATATAGATGTCAACACAGCTTTCAAGGTTATATACCGAATTCCGAAGTTGTTATCACGTACAATTCGCTTACGTCTCCTACACATAGCTGAGACTGTTGCAATAAGATTGACTAAACCGGAACCTCTCCTGTTTAACACAGACCACTTTGTACTAGCCACTCACCTGACACATTTTATAACCTTGAGCTGACTTGTCAGTTTTCCTACCCCACACTCTACAAATCTATTACGATTAATCACCACCACTGTTGTTTCCCATTTCACAATATTTTGTAATCGATTTCAGCCAACTGGCACATTTATCACACAAACACGACTATTTATTTTGACACCCCATAATTAATCTGTTATTCTACGTTAAAAATGTACCCGCCGCATAACTGGCCATTATTATTGTGACGACAACAAATATTATATTTTATAATTGTAAGAACCTGAAGAAGAGAAATTATTGAAAAGAATATTCTTCGATCAGATTGACTTTTAAAATTGATATGATTATGAGTAGTAATAATTTGTGCTCGAAACCTTGTCATTCAATAGTTAATACTGCGTCATCACTTTGTGATATTTGAGAATAAACTTATCTAATATGGAATTACACATTCTACCACAGTGCCCAAATTCTACACTCACATTACCGTAGTACTCTTTGTAACCAGATGAGATTAAACTTTGACCTTTGTTAACACTGCTTATCTATGCAAAGTGTTGTTTTTTTTCACCTCATGTCCCACTGTGATATATTTACTTCACAGCAGGCGAAAAACTGGTGTGTTTATCGGCATTCAGCAACTTACGAGATTAAACGCTCCCACACCCAAATGTACACCGCTTTCAAAAGCTGATTTACTGATCTGATTGTCCCAACTTCGATATTTCAATATCCTCCAACATATTCTAGAATAATTATGAAAAAAAAAAATAGAAAACCGATTAAATCGGAGATAGTATGTATATGGAATTATTGCATAAAAACGGTATCAGATCTCATTTACATAGTAATCTGTAACCAGAACTAGCCGAACTGAACGCCAAACTGCTATTTCACTAATTTGAGGTCAGTGTCCATTAGCCTTCAAACCGGTCTGCCTCAGAGCTAAGAGAGCCGAATTAGTTCAAACCTCCAGAGTTCTAACGATTTAGATGAATGAATCAGTAATACAGATAACAGCTCTAAACTACAGCAGCGCAAACCAAGGACACAAGTAGACGCATATGCTGACACCTTGATTAACCAATCAGATGAGCCCATAATAAAAAGGCGGAAATATATGTCCCCGGGGGAAGCACTCCCTTACCTCGCTAAGCCAGTAATAACACTGGTAAAGAGGAAAGTAAAGTAGACACCAGTGCTACTGAAACTTCAAGCCTGTAGCTTGAAGCCCTATGCTTCACTGGGAACGTGAAGGAATAAAAAAGTACGTGCATTACATCAATAACGTTGCAAATTCCATCAAGAGATGGTATTTGATTACTTTAGGAATAACAGGCTTATAGGAAACTTTCAGATATAGAAAAGTAATGTTTATACAGAGGAATGCAGCCATTGTTGGTGGATATATGTACAAATATCTAGCGTATCGTCAGAGAAAATATATGCGAGAAGATGTGGCGAGCCAGTTTCAGGTTCATGCGTGATGTAGAATAGTGAATGGGTCACGAAACGGCCTTTTATACAATTCCATCATTGGTAAAATTTATTTCGATAAAGTCTCACAGTGTTTGTTATACAGTAATATTTAATAATGACCACATTTCGAGCACAATTTATGCTTGCTCATAAACATATCAAGGCATTACTCACACATAACTTTCTAACTTCGTTTATATTATTCCATTATTTTTCATTGCTTGACTAGATTGCTAGTAGTATTTTCCGTATTTCCGGTAGACTCGATGATCCAAGATTCAGTAATCAATCTCTCTCGCTCTCCACCTACCTACATTCCTTTTTAGAATTTTAACTCTGCCCAACCGACCTTGTTGTGTGTTGTGTGTTAATGCGTGAAGTGCAATCGCTGAGCTTTTTTCTAAATTACTTCTCTTTTCGGGGTCAACCATTCTTACCTTAGCTAAATTCTTATGTTCTGATAATCTCACTACTCCTGATCTATTAGTTTGACCTACGTAGTTGACCCGACTCACAGTCATTGCAAGGCATTTTGTAAATGATATTACTCTATTTCATTGAGTCCACTGGGTCCTTTAGTCTACAGAGCTTGCCCTACCTGAGTGAGTTTGTAGATTTAAATGCCACTCTAATTCCTGCTTTATTAAGAATCCTACTTAGGGTCTCAGATGTCCCCTCCTTCTATGGTATGACAGTGGATGACTTATATTCTCTCTTATTTATGTTATCACCACTAGTTTCACCATTATTTTTATTCTTCTTTTGCCCTTTTCCGATCTTCCTAATGAATTTTATAGGATGGTTATTCATTTAGCACCAACGTTTCTTCTATCTGTTTTATTCCATCATTTAGGTTTTTTGTTGTACTACTTGGTGCTACTGCTTGGTTTGTTAAACACTTAACCAAGCCTTCCTTTACAGATAACAACAGATGAGATGAATTAAAGTCTAAATATCTACTAGAATGTTTCTTGGTTTCTTATAAACACTAGTGTGCAGTTTACCTTTTCCTGTTCGTTTTATTTTGCAATCCAACACCAGAGCTAATTCTCCTTGTTCATCTTCCGATTCAAATGTGAATTTTATTCCCTTTACCGGTGAGTTTATATGTGCCAAGAAGGCTGGTAAAGGGAATAAAAATGACATCTTATTTGGAAAAAATAAAAAAATTTGCAAAATACCTTGCAATGACTGTGAGTTGGGTCAACTACATAGGTAAAACTAGTAGATCGGGAGTAGTCAGATTCTCAGAACTAAGGTTAGAATAATAGATCCCGCGAATATAAGTAATTTAGAGAAAAACTCAGCAATCGCACTGCATGCATTAGCACACAACCACACGATAGGGTGGGAAAGAGTGAAAATTCTAAAAAGTAATATAGGTAGGTGGGGAGTGAGAGAGATTGATTACTGAATCCTCGATCATCGAGTCTACTACACCCAACACATGCAACAGAAATGACTCAATGCAAATACCAGAGATATGGAAGATATTATTATTACCAATCAAATCACAGGGTAACAAATAATGGTAAAATGTATTCAATTCACATTCTAACAGGTTACTTATTTTTACTTTGAAAACATCTTATTTCCCATCTTATTGTATTTTTTGATAACAATAATATTATTTCCGAATGTACATTATTTTATATTGATTTTATTCAGATGTCTAATCAGCTTTTATTTTTTTTATTTATTTATTTTGATTACAGCTTGATACCACACCGTATTTTTCGGTACAAGTATGGCATTTTCAGCATGGATATCGGTAGCCCAAATTTTGCAGGCCGACCATCGATATCGGGTGTGCGTCGGCAGGGGCTCGAACCTCGGACCATGTGCATGGTCGGCGAGAGTCCTAACCACTGTGCCACCGACGCACACTCATGTATGTAAATGAAGCAAGAAATTCGTGTGAGTAGTGTCTTGATATGATTATCAGCAGGAATACATTGTACTCAAAACGCTGTCATCAGCAAAAATTACTGCATAACACTAGAATTTTGTCAAAATAAAATGTTATTTGTAAAAAATTATATTTGTAAAATCTCAGCGACATTGAAATGAGTAATTCCAACGTTTCGTTCGGCAATCTGGTCCGAACTTCTTCAGGGAAATTAATCGAAATTAACATAACAGAGGTTTATAAATAAAAGGAACATCACTTGTTTTTAAAAACTTTGTCCAATCACGAGTCATTCAACAAGTATCAACAAGTATAATAAACAAAATTTTATGAGCTGTGATCAAAATTTGACCTCGGACTTACAAATATCGGTCTACCTTTGTTAAACACTTTAAACAGAGTGTGTATGTGTGTGTGTAAACAGTTGTAAAACATTTCTTAACGTTTCCATAAGAAGATATGGACAGTCGAGAATTTTGACCAAGTATTAATAATTAGTGATACATATCCATTTTTTTATTTATTAATAAGGATTTCCTATGCATCCGCTAACATCACGCCTTCATGTCTGTTCACACTGTTAATATCTAGAATTTTATGATTAGATGTATTTTCAAAATTATGGTGTTTAAGATTAGAGTTTAGTAGAAGCACCCTGTCGGACTTATTGCTTCGTCTTCTTTCTGAAGAATGAGCTGGTTTATTCGACCTACTGGAATTGTCAGGTGACTCGACAGTTATAGATTTAAGATATGCATTCTGTCGCAGACAACGGAGAGTGAAAACATGATGATTGTGCCAATTACATAGTTTCTTTGTTAATTTAATTCGATTGCAAAATAATTCAAATGAACTGTCGTCAAGATTTGACTTGACGCCCAAATATTTTAGAACTATTCTGTCAAATCTTGACGACAGTTCATTTGAATTAAAATGTTATTTATAATAGAAATAAACTCTACCACAGTGCTCAAGATTTTCATTTCCATCTGTGCAGTTTGCAAACCTAAAGCTTTGGTTGGTTGGCATGTTCTAAAATTGAGCATCCCACAAATAATTGAAACCAAGTGCATAACTTCAACGCGATCAAACTCCAGCTTACCGATAGCATTTATAGCACTGTCGTATCTTCAGAGAACACTTGATAAGACTAGTTAACTTTTCATCTTGAAGCATTGAAAGAAACGCCATTTGTAGAAGACCTTCAGCATAACACAGTTCAGCATGTGCTTGTTCTAAAAGAAAGGGAATAATAGAAAAAAATATTCTATGCATTAAACTGGAGAATTAAGATTCCCATTATATAAACAGAAAGGAATAAGTTGATTGAATTACTTCGTGATCAATCGTATTCTGAGTCAACTAACTGTTAATGAAGCCACTAGTAATCCGTCGTTTATCAATATAAGCATCTTTCCTGATACTTTATTGCCATAAAGTTAACTTTATCTTTATTATTATTCATCCCGTTCAATGTGGTCTTAAAGTCTTAAGCTACAAATCTACCTTGTTCTCAGTCCTCTGTCATCCCTCTCGTCTAGTTCTACGACTGACCTCCAGCTTTCAACTGCCCTTCACCTGTTCTTCTGCATGTGACTTTCGGGGGGTTCATCTAATTTTTTTCTTCAAATTGGAGACCCATTCATTGGTCTACTCAGCGTATCTCTTGTTTATCCTAACGATTTCTAAGAAAGTGTTCTGTCTAACCTACTACATTAAGAAACTTAGACAATCTGGAATCAACCAAACTCTACTTTCACAATTTGTCAACTCTTACCTATTCTACTTTATTGCTCCCCGTTAATCTTTCCAGGGCTACTGAAAAAGGACTATACCATCCTGAGAAGGATGTTGAAGGTAGTTGGTAGGACTAGTGGTGTAAAACTCAGTCAGCTCGTCACTATATTAGTTTAAAGGCATCTGGATACATGCGAAAAATGGTCTAAAACCATACTCTCCGACCCCCAACACCCCCTCTATTCCCAACTCTCGCCTTGTATCTCATCAAGTAGAACCACAAATCAGTATAAAATAATGTATGCTAGTACAACCAAGTACAGGAACTCAACGATACCATGCTTGGCCCGTGTTCTAAGCGACAGAGACAATGTTAACTGCGAAACCTATGACTTGCTTTGTTGTTAATAACATAATTTAGGCTCTTTTATTTCTCTCATATTTTGTATTCTATGGTGAATTCCTTCTTAAACATGCTTAGCTACCTAAATTATTAACATTGGCTTCCTTTTTTGTACTTTACTCTATTCCTTCTTTTGTGTATCTACTGGTTCCGACTATATTAGCACTATGAGTAGTACAAAATTGTCCTGTCATTAACCATCATGTAATTATTAGTTTCTGTGGTTGTTGTTTTCTTTTGTTCAGCAATATTAACTGACAATCTTGGTTGTGAAAGCCATTATCACCATCTTAAAATTTTGTATTATGCAGGATTACTCACACTACGACTACAAACACTGCATCAGACCTGACAATAATAGAAAACAACCCTGAAATGTTATTTTATGATTAATTAGTGTTGTTTCAACCTAAATTAACTGGCCATCTTGGCGATAAACATTCTTAAATATCATTTCATAACTTCTTGTGTGACTACAGCTTTACTGTCACCATGCCTAATCATATCATAACTTCCACTACAAAATACTGAGATATTGTTTATTTTGTTGTTTATTTTCATTTCTACTTCTTGATATTTTTTGCATGTTTTTTATTATTTTCGTGCTTTTTGTGTTTTTTTTTGCTGTTGTTGTCTTTATATTTATTTTTTTGAAATACTCCTTTTAAATGTTTGGTAAAATTAGATGCAAATATTGTAGATATGTGCTGAAAATTCCACACTGTACCACTAGTACTGTTTCTGGAATAAAGCAAATTATTATTATTCTCTGAATAATTGTTGGGCAATAGTTTCTTGGTTGATCCACGAACTGTCAAAATTTCCTGTCGCTTATCTTTTTCCGCCAGCTAATCTTCAGTATGAAGAGAAGACAGCTCTGTTGATGAATGTCTTCAGTAGTCTGTTAGAATTGGTTTTGTAATTCAACAAGTCTCTGGACACTATATAAAAGCTGTGATTCGACATTAATGTTTAAAACTCTGATTTTATTACTTATGTTGAGTACCGTAGATGCTGATAGTAATTTCAAAGTAACGAAGGTTGTATCTTGTGTCTGTTCATCGGCTCACGTCCACTTTTGACATTCTCATCTGTTCATGTATAATCCCCATCCAGGCATTAATGAAAACAAAACACGCAAATCAGCGAAGAGTCTCTTTTCGGCGAATTCATTTTCTTAGCTGTACAATCGCAAATATATATGTGTTATTTTTTATGTATTTGTACAGTAAGTTTATCAAACAAAAATACAATTGGTTATAGTTATTTTAACTAAACAGGTGAAGATTGGTAATTGGAGTTACGTAATACAAAATCAGTCAAGAAAATAAGGTGTTAGTGAAATTAGGGTAGTAACAAAGGTGATGAGTTGTCACAATCAGTTGTTAAAATATTATTACATAACTTCTTTTAACAGCTGTTACTACCCTAATTTCACTAACACCTAATTTTCTTGACTGATTTTGTATTACGTAACTCCAATTACCAATCTTCACCTGTTTAGTTAAAATAACTATAACCAATTGTATTTTTGTTTGATAAACTTACTGTACACATACATACAAAACAACACCTATATATTTGCGATTGTGCAGCTAAGAAAATGAATTCGCCGAAAAGAGACTCTTCGCTGATCTACGTTTTTTGTTTTCATTCTTATCTGTGCCCCCGCCCCCTATAGTTGAAACAATGCTGCTTAGCTAAGTGAAAGAGTGTTGACTTCCTTCAGATTGCTGCCTGTAATTGTTGGTGGTGGTATTGGCGGTTGGATATCTTCACCACTGCTATCTGCTTTATGTTCACTTCAAGTTCCTGTCTTCACTGCTTGTTACGCCAACCTCTTGATTTTCGCCTGTAGACCTAAGGGTTTTTAAGATATCATTCAATGTCCAACACTGTGTAGAGCCATAAAAATGACTCATACTGTGGTGAGAGCTGGCTGCTAGCCAAAGTTGGTAGACAGTAATTTACGTCAAGGTTTATGTCCCAAATATTGGTCGTGAGAAAAATGAGAAAAAAGACTTTGCGTAGGCGGATACAGTTAGCATATGGATGATCTGACACAGACACAAAGAGATGCAAGGTTAACTTTCTGTGAGAAACAACCAATCAGAGGACTTTGTTTGTGTGCTTACAATAATCTATAATAATGTACATGAAAATCTATAAATATATGTTGATTTCCTTAATAAACGATCTGTTGCCTTGCCCTTGTCTTCTGTTGTCACAATACCACTGCCTCCTCTTTGTTAGTCATTTTCCAGGCAGTCAATCATCATTGCTGTGGCGATAGATAAGCTACTTAACTGCAATACTTATGTGTAGCCGCTAGGAATAAAGATATGTATACCGAATAACTAAACAGCTTAACAAATGTAAAAACTGAACACCTTCCTTCGTGGTTTGAAAAAAAGTGAAACAAAGCTGATAAGAAGTTTGACTTTGTCTCATTCTTCGAGTGACAGTAGTCATCAAAACGTCAGACGGAGCGCTTTCAAGGCTTTTTATGTCATCCCATCGAATTTGTCGTCTTTTAAAGAGGTAACCAAAGCTATGCGATTTCAGGAGAGTAAACCAAAAATTCGTATCCCATCCTTTCGTATTCCTCAATATTCCTTCATGCATTCATCGTGCTTATTTAAACTTTCATTATGCACTCACTTCATATTTAGTATGGCGTAATTTTCAATTTCATAAGATTTCGACTTTGTAGTTTTTTTCATCACTAACCTTATTATTATCACGGTAATCGTTGCTGCCTTGTAACATAGACTAAGCTGTGCGCCACTTAGCCAGTCCATTACTATCACTGTCAACAGACACTTAAACTTATTTGAGAAATGGTCTTAATCCATACTGCGTAACTCTCAACACCATCCCTATTTTTCAGCTGCGATTCCCCTTTGCATCTCATGTGATGGTGTGGTGAGAGCTGTCTACTAGCCAGGTGGTTGACAGTAATTGAGGTCAATGTTTATGTATCGAATATTGGTCATGTTGTGGTGAGAGATGGTCGCTAGCCAAATTGGTTGACAGTAATGGAGGTCAAGGTCAAGATGGACAGGCGGATACAGTTAACACATAGGTGAACTGACACAGCCACAAGAGATGCAAGGTTAACTTTGTGTGAGAAACAACCAATCAACAGACTGTATTTTCTACTAACATTAACCTACAATAATGTACATCAAAATCTATAAATACGTGTTGATTTTCCGTAATAAACGATCTTTTGCCTGGCCCTTGTCTTCTGTTGTTACAATGGGACTAGAAGTCAATATAAAAGGTTATATGCTCGCATAACCAAGTATCTGTCTGTCTGCCTGTCTGGTTTCAGCATGGAACTTTGCACAGATGTGCAGCAGTTCGAGTCGCCACAGTTCACTTAGCACAAAAAGCGAGAGAAGAAAATAAAAAGAAACGTGAAATAGAGACAGTAAACAGAAATATGAGACATAAGGATAGTAATATCGAAGAACAATGTAGTTTTATTGGATATTATACGTCACAACGAGTGGATGCATCTGCACCAGCCATTGAGAACGATTTTGAGTCAGCCATATCACCAGTTGTCTTCAGCCATTGGTGTTTACCGTCCTGAGGACCCCAACCAGGAACTCTACGCCTTCCAACGTGGCTGGCTTAAACTAACTGTTTTGGATTTCATTGACTGATGAAGCCATATTTTGGTTTGACCACCACTGGCTGGTTCTTTTCCAATCTGCCCCATCCTATGTCAGCTAACATTGCCCATTGTCGATGAAGGTGATGGCTAGACATGTATGTGTAACACATGTCCTAACCATTTCAATCGATGTAGCTTCACAGCCTTGTCTATTGATTTCCTCTCCTTACCTAGCACTCGATGCCTAACCTCAATATTGCTGACCCTATTATACCACCACGTGACACGGGAAATAGAACGCAGACACCTATGATCAAAGACAGCTAGCAAAACTTTTTATGTCTTCCACTCTCAATGGCCAGGTCTCACAGCCATAAAGGAAGACGGAGCGGACTGCTAAGCAGTACACACGCCTAGTATAACCAAGTATAAATACTCGACCATTATGTATTTGGTCCGAATGCGTTTTGTGTGATAGCGATAGTGTTAAACGTGAAACTTATGACTTATTGTGTAATTACCAGAAAAAAGCGGCTCAGTTAACCTTCCATATTTGTAATTTCATGGTGACACTCACTAACTATTCCTAGTATCTTATAATTTTGACAAAAGAGAAAGACGTAAGCAGCGAAGAAAATTTTATTTTTGACGACTCATTTTCATAAGCTGATGTACTATCGTAATTATATTTAACAAAGAAATCATAAGACGACCAATCAGATACTGGTAAAAGTTGTCCTCGAAAAAAGGATATCTGATGGTTCTCTTCAAAGATCAATCTACAGGAAACCGAAATGGAATGGTCAGTACATGAAATTTCATAGTTGAATCTGTTTGAGAAGAAACAGAAACCTGATCCACTCCTTATCCTGAAGAATAAGAAGGCCATTTTCCAGTGATACAATCGATGTGGAACTGAAGCGGCTCAGACAAGTCCTCATAGAGAATGGATATCCTCCAAGATTTATCGAGAAAAACATGGAGTCAAAGCAAAAGCGTGAAAGAACCCAGACGGTGCTGAAAAATCTGCTATCGCCTATGCACATCCCTGAGGAAAGCCTTCTTTACAGCTGCGCTACGGACCAATTTCTGCAGCCGACAAATGATCAATGAATGTGCGAAAGATAAACTGCCGCCAATTTGGGCCACTTCAAAGAGTGTTTATAAATTCACCTGATCGTGTGAAGCTAGTTGTATTGGCTGCAGAAAGCGCACACTTTCCAAAAGCATCTCTGAACATTATCCGGCATGTTTAGCAAAAGGACAATGCAAGACAATTACTAGGTCAGTTGTCGAGCACTTCGTGAACTCAAGCCACACATCTCCATCAGAGTAGTCTTTCAAGATCATCTGCAAGGTGAGGCCAAATGGTACAAAGGGTGTCAGATTTAGGCTTTTGTGAATGGTGGAAGCGCTTGCAATTCCTCAATAAAACCCCGAACTCTGTATACAGAAAACATTTGTCCAGTCTCTTATTCTACCTTGGTCTTAACCTCTTCGCTAGTCATTCCCTGTAAAAAAATTTAATTTTTCTACTTTAAGTTTGATTTTACTTTAATAATTAATTCACTGCTATCGCTCTCATATATTCGTTTTGTAAATTTTCGCACCCCTTCACATTTGTTAAATTGACACTCAACCACCTTTATTCTCACTCAATAGCAATTTTAACCTTATCAAATTTCTAACTTTGTGCCGTTTAGTACCTCGTAATTTATAACCTTTATTTTTTACTTCTAAAGCTACTTCTGAGTCAATTATATCAATTATGTCGCCCCTTTTTACTCAATAATAAACTACTATACATTTTTGGTCGATATAAATATGACTGTACAGCCTGTGAAGATGACTTCGTCGATAAAGAAAACATTTTCCTCGCTGAATTCGTCTTTTATTTTCTTCATGACTCAATGGGTATCCTCCAAAAGTGTATTAAGTAATGTAAGGTGTAACCTAGACGGGATGACTAACTGGAAGTTAGAAAAGTGGCAGATATTGGCATGACGTAATAAGTGTAAGATAATGAGAAAGAATTACATTTAATTCTTTCTCTATCATGTCTTCCAAACAGATTCCTCTAATCCTTGAACTTAATATACGTACCAGGTTTTGTTTTCGGATCAGTAGGACGAAGCTCTGGAAGTTGATAAACTGTCCTCTCCAAGACGGCTTGCAATTTGTAGATCAATGTTTGGATCATACAGTCTTGTCTGGTAAGCATTAGTAGACTGTACGAAAACAAAACCTTCTGCGCACACTAAGTTCAAGGATTGAAAAAATCTGTTCGAAAGACACGATAGAGAAAGAATTAAATTTCTTGCGTGAAACCCTACTAGAGAATGGGTATCCACCAAGATTCATAGACAAAAACATGAAAGAAAAGCCTCACTCGTCAAAAATCACAACTGTCCCCAAAAAACTCTCTTCAAGAACCTGGAATCAAAACATGACATCGAAGCGGAAATTCTTAGAAACCACCTTCCTAAATGTCTGAAGAAGACATTTCAAGCAGCCACCCTATGCAACACATCCTCCAGCAGACAGTTAATTTAGCCAAACGTTGAGGATTAGAAACCGCTTTTGGCCACCTCAATGTGTATTTATCAGTTTACTTGCTCGTTTGGAGCAAAGTATATCGACTCTATGCAACGTCAAGTCCACAAACGTATTCTGCAACACTGTCCATCCAAAGGAGGAAAGAAGAATACCAGTAGCTCTATCTTCGTACACCTTGTAGATTCTGGACACCAAGCACCCCAACACGACCGGTTCACAGTGCCACACAGAGTCCCTCAGTATCGTACAAAGCGACTTCGTATACACCATCTGTACATAGCTGAAGCATTTGCTATTCGGGATCTGAAACTGAACCTCAGTATACAAAAGTGCTACATACATTCACTTGCCCTACAGTGGCCAGAGTAACGTTCTTACTATAATTTTGCTTCTTTATATTATGTAAGTTTACTATTATTATTGTTATTACTACTATTATTTTATTATCATTATTATTTCTACCATCCATATTTTATTATCACTGTGTTAATTATTTATTAATAACATTGCGTTTTCGTACAGATTTTATATAACAACACTTTATCTTCCTTCAACTAGTTCCTGTCCATTCTACACCAGCTTATTGGTTAGTCATAACCTCAAACTCATCACATCCTGCCAAATTCTGCCTCTTTTCTAACTTCCAGTTAATCACTCCTTCCAGGTTACACCTTACATTACGAAATACATTTCCTGAAGACAAATTTTACCAGTGCCTGATTGGTCGTCCTATGACTTCTTTGTTAGATACAATTACGACTGTACAGCAGCTTATGAAAATGAATCGTCGAAAAGAAAAATTCCTTCTCTGTTTACATCTTTTTATTATGACTCTATATCGGAATATTTCATTTATAATTTTGTGCTATTAGTACTAATATTCGCATTCTTATCAGTTTGCATTTGTACATTTTGACTCTTCAGTGTTTATGCTTATGACAAAATTTGATGCATGGTCGCAAATTTTGTTAAGTGTACCCTGTAATGTAGTATTTCTGTTGTATTTGTTCAGTAGATTAGATGCAATATTGTACCAAATTCTGAAAATTCCACAATGAATCATAAACTTTCTTTAGGAATAAAGCAAATCATTATTATTATTTTTATTCGCAGCATTTGACCTACAAATTCATGGGGATTAGTCAAACATTTATGTACACCAGAATAAAGCCTAAGGAAAATTTAATGATAAAAGAACTCTAAAACTGCTCTCTAGTATGTTCTACTTTAATGTCAACAACAGATAATTAACCAATAGAACCATATCCTTTATTATCATTGGTCAAATGACTTATTTATGTGTTGTAAAGCCCGCCATTTTATGTTAAAATAGACTAATTTTCATTGGTTCAGCGATTGACCTTGATCCACCATTTAAATTGTCGGATATTATACATTTTTCAAGGGATGCGCTTTAACATTATTCAACATACTTTGAACAATAAAGTATTAAGAAATGATAATATATTGATGTAGACAATGAGCGAAAAGTATACGCGAAATTGTTATAATAATAAGATTACTTACCATCCGTGTATAAATTGAAAATGGCGTTACGATTTTTATCGGTTTGTTTAGTAAATGTTTCTGAAATAGCAGCTTTTCGTCTATTGGATGCACATGCTTTCAGAGTTGTTTTTAAAGTTTCTTTAGCCAGTTCTAAATTTTCCTTTTAGACAAAAAAACAAACAACAGTAATGATTATTACCAAGGGAAATGTATAAATCCAAACGTATAAATCTGCAAACTTGAAGGAACTCATGTCCCTTCAAGGTAGCAGATACGCCTTGCTGATGAGTGCCAACTAGCACGAAACCTAGGTCCCGGCAAGGCTTCCTGCCGATTGCCTCCAACCATCTAATACCAACAATTCACAGTGCACCGTAATGGCGAGCCACCTAGCATGGTGGCCACATTGCAAACATGACTGATAGAATTCAGTCTGCACTAGTTACTGACTAGTGTGCAATCAAAAATAGCTTCTGAAGTAGATTGCAAAACACGATAAGCGAGCAATAAACAAGTCATGAATGGAAATCATTGTCAGTCATCTTCATGAATGCATGTGAATAAACTGATTCGCCTGAAAAACTGGGACTCCTCAATATAACTGGGACACTGACAGTATTAGATGATTGGAGGCAACTGGCAGGAAGCCTGGCCTGACCTAGGTTTCATGCTAGTTGGCGCTTACTAGTCAGTAAGGTATATCTGAAGCCTTGAAGGAACTCACGTCCCTTCTGAAATCTCAACTCGTGTCACCCATTGCTGACTGTAGTCAGAGAAATTATCACTGAGCTATTTGGGCTGCCGACTGACCTCCTGTAGGACTGTATTGGATATTTTTTTGATTGGACACTAGTCAGTAACTAGTGGAATATGTCTAGTCCTATCTTTGGTGCAGACTGAATTCCATCAGTCAGGTTTGCAATGTGGTCACCATTCCAGGTGCGGGACATCCACTTTGGCCAATGTAGGACTCATTGCAGCACTCCCACCTTAAGAAAAATTGAAGAAAAATATCTCATGGACGTCTTCCAAAAGAATGGGTATCCACGGAATTTCATCAAAAGACATATACCCCCAAGCCAACCTATCAAACCAAAAGCCACCAAGGAAAGCACAAAGAAAATCGCCTTACCATATATAAAGGATATCTCAGAAATCACTACAAGACTCTTCAAACCTTTAGGAATTGACGTCGTACACAAACCAACAAAATCACTTCACTCAATTATATGTCAACCAAAAGACTCAGCAGGGAAAGTAGATAAAACCATATGATCTACAAAATAAATCGCAACAACTGCGAAAAACACTACATTGGCCAAAGTGGACGTCCCCTTCGTCTTCGTCTCCACGAACACGACATCCACTCCCTCATATCACTACATACAGACAACCACGGACATCAGTTCGATTGGGACAATGTTCAAATATTAGACAGAGGAAACACCAAGAATGATAGAGAATTTTTAGAAGCTTGGTATTCCAGTGAATCATCAATCAATAGACACATCGAGATAGACAAAATTTATCAACCGATAAGAAAGAAACCTCACACACAAAGGGTCAAAGTTCAAGTCAAAGAAACAATGAGTGACAATATAAGTAACCTAGAGGGTGTGAAAACACACAAAAACAGGAGAGATGATTAATAAACTCGTGGAGAAATCTAAAAGCTCACTTCAATTCAAATAGAAGTATGCGCTGAAGATGTCGCCTAGTAGGGCGATGAAAGCTTCGCAAATTAACTATCCAGCTCAGAGAACACAACCACATCAAAATGTCGTCAAGTGATAATGCCATTACTATGACTCATTTAAATATTTTCTTGTTTTTTTCTGTGTTTAGATTTTCCGTAAAAAAAAGAGAAAAAATTTTAAAAAAGTTGGCTAGAGACATATGGCGGAAACTCATTACAAAACACAAAACCCCTTTTTGAGACTGACTTAAAAATCGAATCATAAATTTTTTTAGAATTTTCGTGACATCCTAATGCTTGTAAGTCATTGTACATTGTACACTCTGAACTGAGAGTTAGACAATGAAGACAACATGGCTCTGCCCGTTGTTGTCATTTTTGATTTTAGCCTGCTTTTTTGTCTAGTGTGCCGGTAGACGGTAGATGGTAAGATGAGGAATATTATAAACAGTGTTTGTCAAACCTGTTCTCTCCTAAATCGATTCTGATGGTCAGATGGCTAGATCACTGTTGATCGACTGTTGAGGTTGTTCCGACGACTCGTTAGCCTTAGTCAACTGAGAGTAGTTTCGAATCTCTCACTACTAACTTTGTGTAGCCTGTGTTAATTACTGATAAGATTTGTCAGTAGTATGTAAATAAAGCGACGTTAATCAGCACTGAAGCCTAGAGGATCTAGAATGCCTTGCTTATACGGCTTACTAAAGATGCATAAACCCAGCGCTCCCATGAGACCAGTACTATCTATCCATGGTCGATTCTCCATAACACAAAGTAGCTCGGCGGCTAGCAGAACTGTTGGAGGCAATCAGTGCCAAGTTAGCTGTAAATTGCTGGTACTAGATGGTTGGAGGCAATCGGTAGGAAGCCTTGCTTGACCTAGGTTTCGTGCTAGTTGGCACTCATCAGCAAGGCGTATCTGCAACCTCGAAGGAACTGATGTCCCTTCTGAGATTCGAACCCGCATCACCCAATGCTGCAACCAGAGACGTTACCACTCAGCTATTCAGGCTCGCGACTGACCTCCTGTAGGACTGTATTGGATATTTTTGATTGAACACTAGTCAGTGACTAATGTAATGTGTCTAGTCCTATCTTCGGTGCAGACTGAATTCTATCAGTCATGTTTGCAATGTGGCCACCATGCTAGGTGGCCGAAGGTCTAGACACATTACACTAGTCACTGACTAGTGTCAATCAAAAACAAGTTAGCTGTCTGTAGCTTGAAAGATACGTTTCAGTTCGCTAAACAATTAGAGAATTTAGCTATTTCAAATAAATTCATGGTGTCATTTGACGTCTCTTTGCTGTTTACAAAGATCCTGCTAGAAGAAACAATACAAATTATTTGTCAGCATGCTGATCTCATTCGTCTGCCAAAGAATGAACTCAGACAACTGCTGCTAATATGTACTAAGGACATACAGTTTCAATTTAACAATGTTCTGTACCGCCAAATTGATGGAGTCGCTATGGGAGGCCCATTGCGTTGAATTTTGGCAGACCTGGGACAAACAGGAATGAAGGTCACAATCGATCAGATAGACATCTATACCAGGTATGTCGATGACACGTTTGTCGTTTGTGATTGTTTTAATGACGCACCTCAAATATTAAACGTCCTGAATGGTGCTCATCCCAACATAAAGTTTACAACGGAGTTGAGATGAGGACAAGTTTCATTTCTTGATTTGGCATCGAAAATGATAAAGATAATAAAATCGTAAGGTACATCTATAGAAAGGAGACTTGGAAGGCGATTTACCTGAACTTCAAAAGCTTCTGCTCTATAAGTTACAAAAAGCGGTTGGTGAGAACACTGTTTGATAGTGTAAGGAAGCTTTGTTCAGAAGAAAAAGTCGAGGAAGAACTATCCACTGTTGAAAAATGCCTCCGTGATAATGGTTACCCACAGAAGTTCATCGACAAAAATGGAAAACGTAGTCTTGACAAGGTGAAGTACAGCATAGTAGAGAAAAAGCCCATCTTTCTACAGCTTGCCTTCAAAGGTGACGATACTGCTAGTAGAGTAAGATGCAGACTTAACGCTAGCCTGAAAAGAATATATCCAGCTGCCCAGCTTGTATGTGTTTATCAAACGACCTGTTGTTGAAGAAAGTCAGACGTGGACAAACTCCCACCTCATGTTACCTCCAACTACGTCTACCAGTTGACATGCACTCGCCAAAGTACATACACTGGAAGAACAGAGAGAAGAGTTATTGTCCGCATCGCTGAACACATACCAAAGAACCTGAGATTAAAGGGCCTACAAGCATTAAACAGTGAGATCGCACACCATCTGCTGGATACTGGCCATGTTGTGGACAATCTGAAAGTGTTCACGAAATAATGAAAATAAAAACATGAGTTCAAATTATCCTGATACATTTGCCGTTCTTGCTTTATTCACAACATTATCAAAGAGTCAAGACATAGAGTTGACGTCAGACAGAGAGTAAATGAACCAGTATTGCGGCGAACCAGTATGCAAGACAGAAAAACAAGACAAACAAAATACGAGGGGCAGAAGTAACACACAACACGGGAGATCTGTGCAAATGGCGATTTTAATATATATAGTATGTCAAACTGCTAAGAAACATTCCATTACCAACCATTGTCGTCTTTTCCCGTTACAACATCCATCCAAGCTGGTGGATAACGTCATGAGTGTCGCCCATAGCTTGCTTGATACATGAGAAACCCATTCCGGGTAAGTAAGTATCAATTAAGTTTGACCACGGATTGATATCGGTGACACATCCTAGTTAAAGGCTCCTTAGCAGTACAAACCCATGGCCCCACAAGCGATGGCGCTAAAAAATGATGAATTGACAGGAGTTAGAATTCATGAACCTGCTGCTGGATTGCCATCCTGTGTCTGAACTGTCTACGAGCTCTCCTTGTAACTAGAAAGTCCTGCGTTCGAACCCCAGTGGAGTTGTCATGAGTGTATCCCACTGAAGAGTTTCAGACTAGAACGAAACAGTTGTCCAATACTCCTGACTGGTTCTCATTGGTTCTCTAACTAATATCACTCAACTCTTGTGATCAAAATTGAAACGAATAAAATCCTTACAAGACTGAAACTTGAAAAGTACCAATTAAAATTCATGCTGTTGACGTTGGTGATGGTGGTGGGTGCAGTTAGACCTATCTGCCGTTCACACATCAGTCGAATACTGCATCATTCTAGCATCACCGTCATCTTATTTTAAAAATCCCAAACAATGTATTGCGTTCATAATTTTAAGTTGACTTTTTATGTGTTTAGTAATTAATCAATCGATCCAGATCACATTACACTCAATGAATTAAATTACGCAACACTTTATTGCAAATATGATCTGTAGTCAGCTTTCAATAAGTGAAGAAAAACGAAATTTTGCCTTCCCTCCCCTAATTACTGTTCCGCTTGTGAGTGTGATTATTCTACGCCCTTAACCCGATTATGAAGTTTAACTGTGCGCCTCTCTCTCTATCAGTCAGAATTCAAATGACTTAAATATCGATTATTTGTTTATCTGCTAGTCAGATAGATAATCAACCAATCAAATTTCACCAGACTGATAGATGCCTACTAGTCTGCCTGTTAATGGTTGCATATTTCGAATTTATATATGACAGCATTCTGAAGAGGATGACTTCTGTTGTAGAATAAGAAGATGCTATCGTTTATTCCCTCGGGTTCTCGTCAGCTTTGTAAGTAGTAAATTTAAATATGACTGGCAAATGTGACATAATGTCTGTTAACAGGGGACTTTGAAAGTGATGCGAAGCATTCAGAAATTGCACTTAACTACTAATTTATGTGTAGAAGCTTCAAGTTTAGACAAAACGAAACCAAAAAAGGATAAGGGTTAGGATAAAATCGAAAAAGAGTTGTGTAATAAGTACAGAAGGTGGATCAATAGAAGATAAGCAAATAATGTGTTCAATAACAATGTCATGAGTTCAACTCAAACCACAAAGAAACAGGAGACGGATGAAATTACATTATATCAGAGGGGAAGAGAATACGTAGTCAAATGAAGTGGAGGGTAAAATCAACCAGTTACCAAGGCAAAGAAAGACTGATAACGACATTTTTTTCTGAACACATAAATAAGGGTTTCAAGCATTTGATAGCAGTTGCTTCGGTACACCTCAGGGAATTTAACTATATATTGTCCATTGTCAATTTTGGGGGATTTCACAGCTTCCACCTCGTGAACTACATCGATGAGTTGTCTGGCAATAGCACTATTGAAAGTGTCTGTCATCATGAGACATGGACGTTTTGGCCCATTTTCAAAAAACTCGAATGTGTTCGTGTTTTCGTGTTCTCTCTCAACTCAAATGCTACCTCAGACACACGTAAATTTGTGTACACAATTAAACAAGTTCCCATGTAAGCTCTTCACTACCTCACAAGGGAACAAATGCTTTTAGTAGTGCCGTTGCCAGACATTCCATCGATACAAGTCGTTAGGTGGACGCCATGAAATAATTTAAAATTATCAATAAACAGCATAGTTGAGTCCTCCTCAAGTTTATCGAATCAACTGCTGTCAAACACTTGTGTTCAGAAAGAAGTAGTTGTCGATGTTTTCTGGCCCTAGTAACTGGATATCTTTACTCTCCCCTTCGATTTAATCACATAACATTTGGCTTTATTATTATTATTATTGTATCCTTTAATTCCTAGAGGAACATAGGGCTTCAGCCGTGCGTCTCCATTGCGTTCGGTTCTCTGCTACAGTCTTCACCTGGCTCCAAGTCTGCCTACACGTTTTCATCTCCTCTTCACATGACCTCCTCCAAGTCACCCTCGCACTGACGACCAACTCGCCGCTTCCTATTCCGTCGGGTTACACTCGAGCAATGGCTTGTCTAGTGATGTCACTCACTTGATGGTTTCCTCAGAGTATGGCCAGCCAATCCATCTCCATTTCTTCCTGCCTACTTGATCCACAATCAGTTCCTTCTGGGTTGGTTCGCTCCCAGAAATCTCTGTTGCTGATCTTTTCTGGCCGGCTGGCCATCTGATCTTGAGAAGTATTGAGCGAAGACAACTGTTGATGAAGGTCTGTAGTTTGTTTGAGATGCTCTTTATGACGCGCAGTGCAAGTCTCTGATCCGTATGCTAAGTAGCACTGACTTCACATTGGAGTTGAAAATCCGGATCTTATTTAGCTTTAACCTCTTCAAATTTTGCTGTAGTGTAATTCTGCTTGCCTTTGTTTCTATGATTTGAGTTGTACTCATTACATTGTGATGAAATAATAAACGCTGGTACCATTTTATTTTGCAGAAACTGTTGTTTTTGCTTGATTCAAAATCACCAATAGGAACACGTATATGTTAGTCGACCGTCATTATCTAATTATCTGGAAGTACTGGACAGTGAGTTCGTCTTAGTCTAAAGCTCTTTAAGAAGAAGATACACTCACTGGGATTCGAATCCAGGACCTTCTAGTTACAAGGCGAGCTCACAGACCATTCAACCAACGGGACACGCTTCAATGGTCCGAAATTTCAACTTCCACCAATTCGCAATATTTAACGCAACCGCCAGCAAATGTCATAGTAATAGTTCTCTTGCCTAACTTGTGGTGAGTGCGTACCGATGAAAAGTCCCATACTGGGATGAAACAGTTATCCAGTACTCGCTGACTGGTCAAAGGAACCTTTTTGGTCGAATGTTCCATAGCAAGTCCTAGAAAACACTGAGTGTAATCAAAACATTGTGACATTGCGGAATGAGTATTATTCAAAAGCAGTCAGAATATTCTTTGCATTTCACATCTTGTCGTCTATTTCAACTTTATCGAAAAAAGTTAAGTGACTGAACAAACAAAACACGGTATTGCTATACATACTACTGATTTATTGCTCTAAGTAGTTTGGATACCACGCATATCATCAGCCAGTAGCACTTGCTAACCAGAAAGAAGTAATCTGAACGACGGACAGTTGTTTCACGCGTTTGATGATGTCGAGATCATCAGCGGTTTGTACCCGGTTTGACTAAGCTCAGACAGCCAAATTCAGTTCAAACCACCCATATTCTGGTTGCCTACCCATTTGGGCGAACTGGTAAGTCGAGTTTGACCATGGATCCATATCAGTTAGAGAACCATGGAAAACCAAGAAATACTAGACAGTTTTTCGTCCTAGTTTGGACTCATCATCAGTAGGCACCCACTGAGTTTTGAACCTATGGCCTTCCGGTTACAAGGCAAGCTAGCTCGTATACCATTCAGCCAATGGGACCCGATTCAATAGCCAGACCATGAATTCAAACTTCTACCGATTCGTGATTTAGTGCGACTGGCCCCTAACCAATGTCATCGGCGGGAACTCCATCCTTACTCCCGACTGGATGGACCTGGTAATTCATTGGATCGAGTTCATAATTTGTAATTCCCACACAGGTCATGCTGGAATTTCAAAGTAGTTTCTTTTGAAAACCTCATCTTGGAAAGTGTTTACACATAATGGGGTGTAGAATTCACGATAATCAATAAGACAAACGTATGAATGAGTAAAAAGCCTTGCCATACCCCACTACTTACCTGTTCAATAGTTGCCATCCCTTGGATAAACAGTACAGTAGAATTAGCAAGTTCCTGGTACATACCGCCTTGAGCACTATTAAAGAGTAGGTGGGAGGAAAACAAAAGGTCATTCAAAAAAGTCGACACTCTCGCCTACTTTTTCTTCAGACGGTTCTTTGCCTCCTCAAATCGATTATTTAAAAATAAGTCTATTGTAGTTTTCGCTTCAGAGATTCCTTCCAACAGTTTTTCAGAGTTACCACTGTTGTCATTGTTGGCATTGGCTTTTGTTGTAGTGCTGTTCCGCAGGCTTTCATACCACGGACCAAGATACTACAAAACAGAAAGAAAGAAAAAATGGGAACGAATTTATATATATCAGTGAGAATACAATATCAATAAATCGATTGAAGCCACTTGCAGAAGAATACTTGATAATTAATCTGACGCTCACTAGCCAATGCCTCTATACAGGAGGTTACCTGGAGTTCTACTGAAAAGCCATGACTAATGGGGTCTACCAATGCAGGCAGAAGAACAATTAGTCACCGTTGACACTGGAGGATAGCTGCATTAAGAAATTGTCAGAAGCTGTAATTCATGAGGTGTTGCATCCGATCCCATTGGCTGAATGGCCTACGAGCTCCCCTTGTAACCGGAAGGTCCTGGTTTCGAACTCCAGTGGATGCGTACCGCTGAAGCGGAGTAGGAAACTAAGAAGAAACAGCTGTCCAGTACTCTCAGGTTTTCCAACAGTTGTCTAACTAATGTCAAGTCATAATCAAACCTGAAGCCACATAATACTAAACCATCTAAACACATTTCACGTATGCTCTATAGCAAGATGTACTATCAGACATTCATGCCGATTGAATGACTACAGCGTTACACGGAGCGGCCTATGCACAGTTGCCCACAGTCAGGTATTAAACGAATCGTGACTGGACACTGATGTTGATAGATTATACGTTTTCCTTTTTTGTTATCACTTGTTGCTCCAAAACTGTGGAATTAGTGTAGAAATCTACAGACCTCAGAATAAGGAATAAGATCCTGATCTTCAACACTAATATCATATCGGTCAGTGCTACTGTACGATTCAGAAAGTATTTTCAACAGGCTTTCGTGTCGGTGGCATAGCGGTTAGGACGCTCGCCTACCATTCCCTTGGTCCGGGGTCCGATCCCAGGCCGACGCACTCCTTTACCTCGCTGAGCCAGAAATAATGCTGGTGAAGAGGGATGGTTGGGCATGGGTCAGGCTAACAACCCATTCTGTAAAATAAATACTGCTACAGAAACTTCAAGCCACTAGCTTGAAGCCCTATATTCCACTGGGAATGTGAAGGGAAAAAAATCGTAGACTTTCATCAATAGTTGCTCTCTTAAATCGACACTCAAGATTATATTTCTGGTAGGAAAGGATAAGCAACAAGGAACTCTTACACTGCAATGAACTAGCCAACAACCTGTCGTCCAACAGTTGAGCAGAAGGTAATCCAGCAGGACTGATTGGACATACGATGAAGGGATTACTGAATGATATCACGCGCCAGAAAGTCATTCGAATGGAATTCGAATAGGAAACAATTAGTTGAACGTGTTCTAAAGGTGACGTGGTGCAGAGTGGATGTGCAGCGAGTGAAATATTACACAGTGGGCTAAAAAAATAGACTTCAGGAAACAGCGTCGAATGGAGATGTGCTTCTGAAGCCTCATATTCCACTGGAGTAAAAAGGGAATAACAGCCATAATCAGTTCCTCAACTTTTGATTTACTTTCACACAGGCTCTTGGATAAACCTCTGATATCTGACACTTTTACGGTAATTTACTTCACTCAATAATAGAACTGTAACGTCAGAAGACAAGGGCCAGGCAACAGATTGTTTATTGAGTAAATCAAGAGATATTTATAGATTTTTTTCTGTGCATTTGTTATCCGTTATTACTAGCAGAGAAACACCGACTTCCGATTGGTTGTTTTTCTCGCCGAAAGTTAATCTGTCATCTCTTTGTGGCATTTTCTTTTAAGGTCCGACCATATATCTGCGAATCGTATCTCCCCACGCAAAGTCTTTGTTTTTGTTTTTTCTCATCACCAAGATTTGGGAAGTAAACACTGACGTAAATTTCTATCTAACAATTTCGGCTAGCAGATAGCTCTCACCACAGTACTATATCAGAACCGCCACATGACAGTCAAAAGCTGACGAGACAGTGAGAATCACATGGACAGAGTTAAACTATGAAAAACAACCTTAAATGAACTAGCAAGCCAATAACTTTCAATTGACCGAATGCATCAGATAGGCAATTCCGGGGGAAACCAAAAGGTATCGACAATGACTAACTTCATCATGAGTGCTGAACAGTAATTTAGGCGGGGGTAGGGAGAGAGAATTTTTCCCACAAAGTGTCTCAAATCAATAATGCCTAATCTTAATACTTTAGGTGAACAAAAATCCAACCTAATCTTAATCTAATAATGCTAGGCTAACCCTAATCTATCCATAACCTAACGCTTACATACGCAAAACTTTAGCTCTTAATCCCAAGTCGAAGCCACGTGATTGAATATTAAAACTTCATTGAAAACATGGGAGTTATTTTTACAATATCTGAGAGTAAGATATTGATTTTAACATTTTTATACGTTTCAAGCTTGATCATAGATTGATACCAGTTAAGGAATTGTTGAAAACCCCCAGAGAGTACTAGACAACTGTTTTGTCTTTGTTTGAGACTCTTCATCAGTCCGTACCTACGATTCCATCAGCAACTGAACACTGGATCTTCAGATTACGAGATCAAGTTCACCAAATCAGACAGTCACTTGGAAAGGAATTCAGTGAATTCGGTGAATTCTGTCTTCTGGTAATTCGTGATTTTAACACTACCACTGTAACAACAGAAGACAAGGGCCAGGCAACAGATCAGTTTTATTACGAAAACCAACAGGTATTTATATGTATTTTACGTACATTAATAAGGCTCTGCCCGCAGAAAGAAGGCGGTCTTCTGATTGGTTGATTGCAAACAAAACGCAGTCTTCTGCTTTCTCATCTTCGATATTTCTCGGAAATGCGAGCCACTTGTCTGCGAATCATATTTGTCCACGTCTAGGTCAGCTGTGATCGGTTGTTGAATCAGCCTAGATTAATTTCCACCAATCAGCGTAGATCAATGTCTACCAATTGGCTGGCAGCTTGCTCTCACCACACCACCAGCCAAACAGAGGTGATGAAGATTCCTGGGCAACACCACCAACAGTACCAATAACAACAGACAACAATCAGCATAGATGGAAGGAACCTGAAAGAAACAACCTCTTTTACTTACCTACCTGGGAAGCATCATCTCAACTACAGGCGAACGGAACTGACAAGGATATCAAAGCAAGAATCGATCGGAAAAGCAAGACAAGCTTTCACTACTCTCAAGTCTGTGTGGAGGTCAACAGCACTCAGCATCAAAAATAGGATCTGGATTTTCAACTCCAATGTGAAGTCAGTCAGTGCTACTATACGGATCAGAGACTTGCACTGCGCATCATAAAGAGCATCTCAAACAAACTACAGACATTCATCAACAGCCTGTTATCTTCGCTCAATGCTCAAGATTAGATGGCCAGCCAGAAAAGATCAGCAACAGAGATCTCTGGCAATGAGCGAACCAACCCAGCGGGAACCGATTGTGAAACAAATAGGCAGGAAGAAATAGAGATGGATTGGCTGGCCATACTCTGAGGACACCATCAAGTGACATCACTAGACAAGCCATTGGTCGAGTGGAACCCGGCCAGAAAGGAAGCGGCGAGTTGGTCGTCAGTGCGAGTTTGGGTGACTTGGAGGAGGTCATGTGAAGAGGAGATGAAAACGTGTGGGCAGACATGGAGCCAGGTGAAGACTGTAGCAGAGAACCGAAGGCAATGGAGACGCACGGCTGAAGCCCTATGTTCCTCTGGGAATTAAAGGAAACAATAATAATAATAAATAATAACCAGCCAATATCGTCGGCGAGTATTTTTCTTCATACTCAACCTACTGAAGGACCGTTCTTGTCAAGATTTCTCACCTGATGATATCATGGATTCGCACTGATGGATGACGAGTTTCAAACTATTATGTGTATCTACCAATTTAACTGCTCCTGTGGAGCAGGCCAGTTACATAGGCCGTACAATTAGGCGTGTTTCGCATCGAATTTCCGAACATCACCCTGCAAAGTGGTCAAGTAAAGGACAAACAAAATCTATTTACAGCGCTATTCTATCTCATCTTGTGGATACAGAACAAAAGATTGATGTTAATCATGCTTTCAGGGTCATTACCACATACCAACAAATCTCAATTTCAAGTATTGGTTTGTAGGGATTTGGTTGATCGGTTACATGATTTCATCATGCGCTGACATCAGTTAGAGAACCATTGGAAAACCTCGCGACTAGCTCTATTCAGGTAGGTAGTTACCTGGGGTTCAAGTGGGAAGTCGTGATCAGTAGGGTGCAGAAGGTCGGGTGTGAGGACAAATACTCGCCGAAGACATTGGCTAGCGATTGCACTATATCGTGAATTGGCAGAAGTTGGAATCCATGCACTGGCCATTGGATCGGGTCCCAGTGGCACAACGGTATACGAGCTCGCCTTGTAACCAGAAGGTCCTGGGTTCAAACCCCGATGGGTGCGTGCTGCTGAAGAGTCCCAAACTAGGATGAAACAGCTGTCCAGTACTCCCAGGTTTTCCAATGGTCCTCTAAACAATGTCAGCTCATGATGAAATCCTGTAACAAATCTCAATTTCGCCCTAAGAGTTCGACTACTAAATATTGCTGAGGCTGTTGGGATGCATATTAACAAGCCTAATTTGTGCATCCAAAAAGAGTTAGTTCATACATTATCCTTACCTTGGCCATCTAGTTTTGAATGATCCTGAATTTTTGTGGAATTTTTCTAATTTTAGTTGATATTCTATTTGCTACTATATCTTTATTATTATTATTATAGTTTAAGCATCTTTAATGAACTGTAATTCCACTGATCTTACTTCACAGACCGATATTATTTAAAAAACACTAATATTGTTATTGACTACTAATCTAGAATATTCTATGTATATAAACATATATATAAATGTAGAGCCATAAGAGGAAATTATCGAAAAGGATATTCTTTGCTCAATTATTTTGTGTTCTGTTATGAAAAAATTGGCGGTTTTCAGTGGTTCTCTAGCTGCTACCGATCTGTGATCAAGCTTTGATCACATCTTTGGCTAGCATACTCTGATTGGTCAGCTCAAGGTCGCCGGTACGGTCTTCCTGATTGGCTCTAATGGT